TTATACATATCATCTAATTCATACTTTCGCTCAATGAGACGCGTGCGAAACGCGTCAAACCAAGCCTGAATATTCTCCGGAGTTGCTTCTTTAGCCCGATTAGACTCTAATTGACGTGAATAGCATGTTTTAAGTTCTGGATGTCGTTTTTGGAATCTATAGATCCATTCGTGGCCTATAGGTGGAATTTCTGTCGAGGTAGGATTTCGAGATGACGCGACCCGAACGCGTCGAAGACGAATTTCGTCGGCCATTTCCTTCACCAACATAGGTGTAGCAGGGAATCCAGTGATGGTAAGTCGTGAAATCCATCGTACAAGAGTATTTTCTTCTGCGTTTGAAAGAATTTGAGCCATTTCGTGGGTTTGGGAACGTGTTTTCTTCCCAGCCAGCCTATCAGCTAGGGTAGACTTAGGGACTTCAAAATGCTCTGCAGCCTTTCTAATTGATTTAAATTCTTTCAATTGAAGTGAAATTATAGCCTTTTGAAGCTTCTCTTCAATTTGAGCAGATGTAGAAGGTGATTGGGTATGCATAATAAAAGTTATTGCGGTTTCAAGTTGGTGATGGGCTAAAAGTGTCCGAGTTCCCCATACGTTACGTTATTAAAAATATAATGGTTTTAATAAGTAGAGATTTGCTATTTATAATACTAAACTCTAAAGGCTCTTTACTAATAACAGCTTATCTTATTTATTCAATATTTCTTAATAATCTCTATAAATGATTTAGTATAAAGATTAAACTTTTCCTATATAATTATTAATTGGAAATATTAATATATTATAAAATAAAGTATTAAAGATTTAATTTCAATAAATTCTTAAAATATATTCAATTATTATTTAAAATAGAATATAATATAAATATTATTATTATTATTATAACTACTCTGAAAATTATATTCCTAAAATCATTTCAATTGTAAAATCCATTTTAATATTAATTAGAATATTAATTACCTCAATTAATAAAAGCATTTTGATATAATCTATAATTATCAAAACCTTCTCAGGAACCTACAAATTCTAAATCTTTTTTAACTATTCATTATATATCCACTTATTTTTTAATATTACAATTTTATATTAAATAATTAGATTTCTTATAATAATAATAAAAATTAAATCAATATTCCTTTTCTTATTATTAATCTTATATTTAAAAGTATTAAGATTTATAAAATTAAATAATACTAATATAACAAACAATATATTAATTAGAAATATATAATATTATATAAAACTTGAGTTTATTTTTAATCCTAAAAAGTATTCATTTTCTTATAAATTCTAACTCCAAACTTCAGACTTCTACTTCTAATTATTAATATTAATAAGAAAATAAGAATTAGAATCCTATATAAATAATTATTGAAGATTATAGAAGATTTTTGTCTTTATTATTATAATTATTTCATATAATTATTTATAATATACTATATCAAGGTGTTTTAATTGAATATAAAAAATCAAAAAAGATATCTTATTAATCATCTTGAATTTATCAAATTAAATTAAAACTTTATATACCATATTAACTAAGATATAAAGCTCATCAAGCTTATTGAAAAAGAAATTATTAATAATATAAATCGAGATTTTATTAATAATATTATTTATATTAATTAATCTCTCTTAACATATACAATTATTAATAAAAAAGGTTAAATATAAAAGCTTCTTTTTATTTATATTGAAAATAATTAAATTAATTATCCAGCAGATTTGTAAACCTTACTTCCAAACAGTATATTCTTCTTATTAAAATATTAATCCTATCTTTTTCCCTTAAAAAAGCTTAGAATTCTTTAAAGTTTATTATCAACCAGCCCCACCCTAAGCAAAAGCGCCTAATAAGTTTTATACAATTTAAGATTACAACAATTAAATCAATTAAAGTTAAATACTTAATTAATTATTTATAATAATCTTGAGAAAATATTTTATAATTAAATCTTGTTCGAATATTTGTTAAATAATAAAAAGTAAATCAAGTATATAATTAATAACATTATACAGATAATTAAGGTAATCTTACTAATCTTATATTAATATTAATAAAGAAAGAGGACTATAAAGTTTATAATCTTAAAAACTAGATAGCTCTTCTATAATTCATTATTATTAATTAAAAACGTTATTAATTTTAGCTTTAAGTATTTCAAGCAAAATAAATAATAATGAGTTAATACTCAAAGTGCCCAATGTATTAGCTATAATAAGTAAAAAGGATAAGACAAAGATATAAACAAAAATAAAGATAAGGATAAAAATAAAAATAAAAATGAAAAGATATGAAAGGTACAAAAGATTATGAAAATTATAAAAGGATTTATTTTAAATAAATAAAAATAGAAATAAAGAATTTCTTTTTAAAATCGAATTATTCTTGCTATAATAAAACTCTTTTATAAAATAGAATATACTATTATAATATAAAGGATAAATATTAAAGAAAATATATAATATTCTATAAAGAATAAAGAAAGAGATGGAGAGGTGTTGACTATATAGAGGATGGATGTCTTAGGCATCCATATAACTATGTATTGAACCCGTAACAATTATAATAAACTTATACTTTTTTCAAAATTAAATTATATTTTAATGTAATTTTATTTATTATATAAATTATTAATTTATTTTTATTTTAAAGGAATTAAAATTCGATTTGTAATCTTATAATATAAGAATTACAATTTTAATAATATAAAGATATTTAAACTCATTTAATTATTAGTAATTCATTTTAATTATTAAAATACTTATATATATATATATATATATATATTCTGATTTTCTTAACCTAATAAAAGTATTCTCAAAATCTTAATTAATATTTCGAACAAAATTACTATATAAAATCAACAAAATTATGATTATAATTAATTCAATTGTTGAGGACAACCGAAATGCAAATGTTAATTAGGCATGCATGTGCTTTTATCGATTTATCATTTATCGAGGCTTTTTAGTAGATACTGATGCGTGCATTAACATGAGTAGCACGGGATATGATTTCCCAAATAATAGACTCTCTTGTATCAAGTTGGAAATCTCTAATTAAGATTTTCGTGACTCCTTGTGATTAATTGGGGAAAAAGCCTGCATCCCAAAGAGGTGTAATTCTAACCAAATAAACGCTCACTCTTTCTAAACTGGTATTGGCTCGCTATCAACAGCACATAAATTGATACAAACGCCAAACTGACTCGTATACTCATCACATCTACATGAAAACAATATTTAAGTATCATAACCCCAACCTCTCGCATCATTGTATTCACCCACGAAACTCGTCGCTGCAGCCATAACTCCAATCGCACCATCCGCCAACGCATTACCCGTACCAATTAAAGCACGTGCAGCCGCTTGACCTCTGGCAACTTCCGCTTGCAATATCTGTACCCTATAATCTTCATCTAGACAAGAATCTGTTCGGATCATGCGTCCCATGATTGCAGATCTCAAAGCCGCTTCCCAATGATTGACAAAATCATCTTCGCTTTGCACAGTTGGTTTTCGGGGGGAAGCACCGGCTCCCGCGCGTCGGTCGGCATATTGATATGTACATCTTACAACCTCGTAGCGACGAGTGACTAAGAAGAGAATGGGCCAGGAAACTACCCAGAGGAATGTGAGGTAAAAGAACCAACGAATCCAAGTCGTCATTCGCCATTCGTTGATTATATGTGGCGAATAAACGATTACTCGTTTGTGCGATGTTGGAAAATTGACGTGAACTTGACCACGGTAATTCGTAGATGTAACAATACGTCGCAAAAGATACTCCAGGTGGCTTTTATCGTGATTTATGATTTTGCGTTCAAAGATGAAGCATTTCATGCTAGATGGATCGGAAACGAATTTCTCGCACCAGGCTTGCAATTCATCTCCCGTTGAGCCGGATTCGATATCACAGTTTGAGAGAGAGGGTTCGAGAGACTTGATTATTCCTCCTCGATATCCTTTTTGATTATCTGGCAAGATCTCTAGTCTTCCTCCAGTTCTTATTCCGGTCGTGAGCAGATGTGTTAAATTCAGACGTATGTGGAAATCTGTGATAGTTTCCGTTGAGGATTTTTTATGTCGACGCTCGGTTTCTCTGTGAGTTCCTGATACTTCCACATAATAGGTTGGAGCATATTGAGCTTGTTCGAGGATCATTTGACGAAGAGCATCAGGATCCGTAGAATAATTTGGGAATCTCGTCCAGAAATCGGCTGAACTATAGTCGTGCGAAGAGAAAGGAAGATCGGGAGGGGGGCTAGAGCAGAGTGAGTTAGTTTAAATTTCACGGCATATTTGATAAGAGATACTTACATATACCAACCTACGCCGGAGGTAGAGTGAGAATTGCTGGCAGATGGGCCATCAGTACGCGAAAGAAGAGGTGCCGATGAGGATGTTTCCTCATAAGTTGGAAGATCCTCTTCGGGATATTCTTGATTAAGATCATTGAGAAAGCCTGCGGAAGAAGCTGCAGCATTGCTAACTTCTATTAGATCTCTATGAGCATCAGCCTTGTAGGGCTGCGTTTCTTTACCCATATTGCAAATTCGTCTTGCCCGATATAGAGCCGCGGATCTCGTCGAATGATGATCTCGTTATACCTTTGATATTTCACCGGGGAGATTGTTGTTCTTAAGAATGGACAAAACCTATGAGTTTGAGACGACGTGGTATTGTTCAATGTAGTTGTGCAGTGAGATGAAGTTGTTTGTTGCCTAGTATGCCCAGGTGGGTGACACTTGATTTGCACAGCCACAAAATCTTTCATGTGTCCGTCGTAGATACCCGTGGACTGACTACCTAGGTACTAACCTCATTAAACAGGTAGGTAGGTAGTGTAGGAATATGAAGTCTGTTCATCTAATGATGAGTAATGGAAGTGTTTATTTCTGGCATCTCACACTCCTTACAACGTACGGTAACTTACTGGTATTCCCAAAAGAGAAAAGACCTCAGCTTGATCCAATCCATCGTTTCCTCACTGATTTATATTGCCATGCGGCGGGATTGCTTCTTGAGGTTCGAGGTCCACTCAATGATTGACACAGCCACGATATCATCACTCAAAGGCAACTGGGCATCCATGATGGCTTCCATGCACGATAGAGATTCCCCAGCTTTTTGGGATAGGATGAGAACTCTTCCATGTTTCAAAGATAGATTAACATTATCATGAAACAGGACCCTTGATTTCATGTTTCTTTGTCTTGGTGGTGAAGATAGGTATTGCAACAACATATGTATCAATTTTTGGAGCTTCTTCTTAGGTGTGGGAATGGGATGGACCTGGAGCTCTTATCAGTGATGACCCCTTTTTACCGAAATCTTTCTTTCTACTCGAGTACCAATGGAAGGGTTTATCATGGTGGAGCAATTTTGAGCTGTCACTCAATCAATTCAATTTATGGGATTCTGGGCTGCGTTGCTTGATTTGCTTGATTTGCTTGATTCGTTGCGGCTAAGGCTCCAAAATAAAGATTGGTTGATCTCGCCTTATGAAACGGTTCTAGGAAAAAACATCTCGAGCCACTTTATATCATCACCCCTCTCAAACGGTCAAACCTCTTCAACCTCCTTTAGTCGTTCATCTGAATTCGAGATTTATTATTGTTTGCGCCAAATTCTTTACATCTGCCAAGTATCCAAACATATTTACACCAAACACACTACACCAGAATGTCGGAATTAAAGAATGCCAAAGTAAGTTTCAAGAGATTGCAAGCTTCACGAGAGATGTTTGGATATTCATACTTTACGCGCACTCACCAGTACTGACTGCTCTTCTGTTCTAGGGTCTCAGCAATGAGGAAATTCAAGCATATAGAGATGCTTTCTCCATTTTTGTAAGTTAAACTTCTTACTTGACTGTTCGCGCAAAATGCTTACTCTTCCATATAGGACAAAGATGGTGATGGTATGCGCAATTCAACCCCGCACTTGCTCTTCACAATCCTTTTCTAACAATCCTATCTTCAACCAGGAACCATTTCCACTGCCGAACTCGCAGAAGCAATGAAATCTCTGGGACAGAACCCATCAGATGCGGAAATTCAAGATATGATTAATGAGGTGGATGTTGATCAATCTGGAACAGTCGATTTTGATGGTTTGTTACACCGCGAGATACCACGAATACCCCACATCTTCACATCGTCAACACTTTTCTTCGAGCTCTTCTAACCATATTCTATTCAAAATACAGAATTCCTTAAGATGATGACTGCCGAAACAAAGGGCGTTGACTTCGAACAAGAAATGCGCAGCGCTTTCAAAGTATTCGATGTTGATGGAAGTGGCACAATTTCCCCAGAAGAAATCTACAAGTTGATGGCATCTTTAGGAGAGAATCTGTCAGAGGAAGAGATTAAGAGTATGGTGAAGGAGGTTGATAAGAATGGTGATGGAAGCATAGATTGTATGAAAACTCTCAAGATACTCTTCAAACCTCTCTAGACTTGCACAATTACTAACGAGATGTTGTTCTTTTAGATGAGGAGTTCGTTTCATTCATTCGCGACAACAAATAAGGAAACAGCACTAATTGGGGAAAATTCATGACATTGAGAGAAATTTTGGATCTCATATAAAGTTACATAAAATACCATAGGAATAGGAATATACAGCATTTTGTTCTAGCCTTCCTTTTCAATGGGAATGGAAGTTTCATTAATGCTATACATGGATCAAGTGAGTGTTGTCAGCATCGTCACCAAGGTAGCAATTTCATTTTGATTTTATTTTGAAATTATACCTTCCAACATTGGTTCGCAAACTTCTTGTTGTATTGTTTTTGTGGAGCTTCTGTATTCTTAAACAATCCTTCAACAGCTTGTTGTTTGAGTACAAAGATAGATTCGGGCTCAAAGGTCTTTTGAACTTTTGAAAGAGAGGATGATTTCTTTCATACAATTTTAACATCATCAAGGAACAATGGCATTGTAGCTATTATATGAAGGCTTTTTGCTGGTCGTCTGGCTCACACATTTTCAGAAAACTCAACTTCTTCCCAGACTACCCTAAACAAATTTTGATTACTATAGCACAATCACAATTCTTAGCCTTTAACTAAAATGTCTTTGAGCTCTCCACCCCAAGGTTCTACAGAGACAGCAGTCAAGTCTGAGACTAGACTCACATTTGGTATCGAGATCGAATATCTCTTAGCTACTGTTCATCCCATTCATCCTGCTCCTCATCCAAAGGATCCACGTGAGAAAGATGGAGAGAAACTACATAACATAGACAAAGCTAATTTTGACATTGGCGAAAGACTCAAGGCTAAGGGAATACCAGTAATAGTAACTGCATGTGGAACGGATACATCACTCAGTGGTGCAGAACTAAGAACCAGATGGCAACTTAAATCTGATTCCAGTGTCAATCCAAAAGAGCGAATCCACCCAGATTATAGAGAATTTGGTATGGAAATATCATCTCCACCCTATTATTACGATCAGGCTTCACGAGAACTTATCCCAGTAGTTTTAGAGACATTAAGAAATAACTATCTAGTTCGAGTTAATGACAGTGCAGGCTTTCATGTTCACGTCGGCAACGAGTATGATGGATTTTCTTTCCCGGTATTCCGTAATTTGGTTGCAATTTTGTATACTTACGAACGTCAGATTCGGCTCATGGTCTCTGCCGTTCGGGTGCAGACTGCACAAGAATATTGCCGATCATTTACCTGGAGTACTTTTGGCACAAGTGTCCCCGATACCACGCGTCTCGAATTCCTCAACCATATTCTTTCCTACCAAAACCAAAACGACTGGAAACAATTTTGGATTGACATGACACCGGGTGTTGGAGGACGACTTGCATTCAATTTGGTTAATTTGAAACTGCCCTACGAGTCTGAAAAACGCACCATCGAATTCCGTCTCCATCCAGGAACTCTCGATCCAGAGGCCATGCTCAACTGGGTCCATTTTTGCATCAAAGTCACGGAGAAAGCATGTCTTATCAAGAACGAAAACGAACTCTATGAACTACTCAGGCGCGATGTCGAAAACCCAGTCGGGACCGCCGAAGAAGATTGTAGTACGGTTGATTTTCTCATCTGGTTAGGTTGTCCGGCGCAGGCGTATTATTATGGTGCTCCACTAGTCGCAGATCCGGAGACCCTCAGAGACCGTATACAGGAGGATGAGAGGATGGAACAGGTTAGTCGGGCTTTGGCGGTGCTGAAGAAGGCGCAGCGAGAAGAGAGGGCGAGGAGAGCGAAGCATGCGAAGGATTTTCCGGAGGATGATGCGGATTTTTCGGAGGTTGAATTGAGTTAGGTAAGTCTTGAAATAATTAGAAGGTAAGTGGTAGATTTCTTTCCCTTTTCAGCTTTCAGGTGCTTCGTCGAGAAGTACGGGCAAGTAGCTTTGATTTATTGTGTCGATGCGTTTAATACTACAGTTTATTTATAAAAAATTAAAACCCTAAAATTAAAATCAATAAGTTTCCGTACAGTTGTGAGATATTGTTTCTGACTTCTTGAATATTGGTGAGAATGTGAGAAGTAATCTGAATGAAGATGGGAATGGAGAGTTTATGGTGTGTCGAATATAATGTGTAATGTGCAGAGTTTTTCTATGTTATTGAATAGATGTCGCGAATAATGGGATAGTTTCCAAGTCCTACATTTCTACAATTTATTCGTTACCGCACCGCTTAGTACCGGGTCATGGGTTGTGCAATCAAGGCACGAGAAAACTTTACAGCAACAATATATCTCAATGGAATAGAACAATCAAGAGAGGAGAGGCATGGTAGTTAATTTTTCGTTGATTGCTGATAGCTTTAGCTATACTTCTAAATCCCTGATACGCTGAGAATTTGTATGTATATGTATACACTTCTCCAACTCTCTCTGAAAACAAATATGAAATTCCTCCTTCGGAGTCCTTGGGAGTATTGATTCCTCGGTTTGCTATGATCATTTGCTGTCTTTTTCGTACACCGCTTATCCAATTCCAGGTCCATGTAAGATGACAATTTCTCCTCAAAACCCGTATCTGACAATTCGCTATACTTCTCTGTTGTGTTTTAGATGTATGGTGTACAGTGAACGCATCATATTAAACATCAAACCACAGAAAGGACTGGGAATTAAGCAGAAGAGTACAAAGGGGCAAGAGAGGAATTTATCGAGAATGGGGGATGAATAGTGGGTTTTGAATTGAATTGAATCGAATCGAATAACTAGGATTTAGATATTTTTCGATGTGGTATGCTGATGAAGGTGGGAATCGCGGGGTGTGAGTTTTAGTTTTGGTTTTGGTTTTGGTTTTTGAATAGGCGTTGATTGAGGGGTTGACTTTGACTTTGACTTTGGGTTTTGTGCTTGTATTGGGGTTGATTGGGGGGTGGGGATGGATTTTCCTCCGGATTTGAGTTGGGATTGGGATTTTGATACTGGCGTGGTTTTCAAAGTCGACGTTGTTTTTGAAATTGGCAGTTCCTCTATTTCTTCTTCTGTTTCGTCGTTGTCTTGTGATATCGGGTTTGCTTTGGGTTTGGGGGGTTTCTTTGGTTGAGTGGATGTGGATGTGGATGTGGATTGGGGGGTTAGAATGGATTTTCCCCCTCCGGATTTCGACATGGGAGTTAGAACGGATTTCCCCCTTCGGATTTGGATACTGGTGTTAGGAATGATTTTCCTCCTGATTTTGAGGCTGGTGTTGTTTTGGTTGCGGGAGGGAGGGCTTGCAATTCTTCCTCTGCTTCATCATTATCTCGCGATATCTCTTTCTCTTTTCTTTTCGTATTTTTCTTTGGTTGAGTGGATTGAGTGGCTAGTATTGATTTTCCTCCTGGTTTTGGCATCGGCGTTGGATTCGTTATTTGGAATTCCTCCAATTCTTCCTCTGTCTCATAATCATCTCTCACCACCTCTATCTCCTTTATCTCTTTTTCTTTCTCTTTCAAATTTTTCTCCTTCATAATGCTCTCCAGCTTCGCCCCATATCTATCCAAATCCTGCATCACATCCATTTCCACCGCTCGATTCTCTCTCTCCGGAATACAATGATACTTCACATAGTACCCCCAAACTCGCTTGTCCCAATTTATGCAATTTCTCATTCAGCTGATCAAATTGCACTATTAAATCAACATACGGAAGTCGTTCACTCCGAAATAACCTCTTGGTCGCATCATCGAATGGCCATTTGTGCAGAAGAGATATTACTTCTGAAGAAGAGGAATAGATGTCCAGATAAAAACCTACGCCGTCGTTAATCTCGGCCCGAAATGCAGGGTCGGCGTGGATAGGAAGGAAATGCGTTCCGGCATAGTGGGGAGGGATTTTGAGGGCTTCGAAACGCGTGAGCGCGGAGCGTTGTGCGAGGAGGATCGAGGAGAGTTGGGCTCGTATGGGGGTTACGGGGTGTCGGGAGGTGGGTGGGAGGATCCCGGAGTGGACTTTGGATTGCGAGGGGTAGATGTGCGTGAAGCGGGCGGCGTAGGCGGCGTAGGTTTGGGGGGAGGGGTTGGAAGAGTTGGAGGTGGGGGGAGAGAATGTGCGGGTTGCGCCGTGGGTGTGGTAGATTAGGATGTGAGCCATGGTGGGCTTGGGGTTTGGGGTTTTGTGGAAGACGCGAGGAATAGTAGTAATATATGATTCTTTAAGATTAGCTACCGCGGTACTGGAAAGAGGATGGGTTAATCACCAATTTACAAGTACCAATGAAGAACCTCGAGAAAAATATTATGAGAAGAAGAAAAAAACTACTCTAATGATAACTTGGAATGTTATGCCAAAAAAGAAATACTTGATGAGAGCAAATTTCAAACACTTCAATATTTTATAATGATGAATTGAGATTTTGATATTTGATGTAATGTGATGGTATTCTAGACTAGTGTATGTGGTAGAGTGAGAGGTAGGAAAGAGTGAGGGATAGGAGATAGGGAAGAGATAGGAATGATTGACTTTCTTGCTTTCTTGCTGGATGAATGACTGGTTGGCTGGATGGTTCTTTCTCATATTTTCTGCATTTTGTGGATGTTGCGGATATCGATGAGAGATGATAGTTGAAAGGAACGAATATGCCGGAGGGTGTTGAATTTGAGTTGGAGGTTGGGGTTGGAGGTTGGTAAAGTGCGAGGGAAAGGAAAGGAAAGGGAGGGGAGAGGGAGCGTGTAAAGATAAAGAGTTGGTTTGGAGATTAGATGAGGTTAATGATTTGTGGGAAACGATTTATGGAAGAGGATGGTATGGGATGTCATTATAGGGATAGCATGGGATGATGCTGATAGTTGAAAGATCTGTATATTAATATTATTATTTTGTGATAGAAACTATAGAAAAGGGGGTAAGGAAGGATTGGCTGAGATGTTAATTATTAGTTGAATTTTGAGATTGTAAAGTATGTAGGTAGCTATCTTGCCTAGATGATCATTCTATAAGGTTTAGGATGAAGTATATGGAAAGTATAAACCCTCTCCTACTACATCTTCCAGCCATCAACAAGCAGAATCACCAGTGAATACATCAACGGCATACTCCTCAATTTTCAAAATTTGTAACATATTCATTCTTTGGTTGTTTGATATTGGGATTTATTCTTCGTTTTCTTAGTAATGATAAATCATATGCGGAATCTTTAAAGGATTTGGATTGATGTCTCTCATGATATCCTCAAGTTGATTTTTGTAGTATCCAGTGATCTGGGGGTTGTTATACCCACTAGTAGATGCAGGTTTGTGGGTGATGTCTCTGCCTTGTTTGTAGGAGGTTTGCTTTTCTTTTCTTTCCTTTCTTCTTGATTGAGAGACTGGATGTGCTGAGCATTCATCATGATATTCAGAATATTTGATTTATGATAGCGTGAAATGATGGTTCTGGAGGGTAGGTGGGATTTGTTGATTGCAGGTTTGGAGATTGTTGGGTTGGAAAGGGGGGAGGGAATGTGTGATGGTTTGTGGTGGGTAGTTACCTGAAGCAGGATGCTGCTATGGTGGTGAGTTGAGGATGGAACCTAGAGTGGTAGCTAAGATGGTACTTGGGATGACAATATCCAGGATGGTTAGTTGTAATTTAACATTATTCAAAAGATCAATAAACATTGACAGCCAAGTCAATTCCTGTGCCTGGCGCTAGTTCAGTATGTTTGTTTGAAGTTAACGTGCTCTAAAATATTTCTCTTTATTCGGTTGTTATTAGACGAGCGACAAAGACTGATAAAATGTGAAGAATGCATTTCTTTCTTATTAGTTCCTGCTGCCACGCTTTGTTCGAATTGTCATCTTACAAAGGAATCTCTGCTTGGTTATCTCTCAAGGAAATAAAGATTAGTAAGGACGAGTTCCTTGTTTGTTATTACAAGGTGTGGTTCACTTACAGTCACTCACAGTATCACAAAAGAATATGGGCAAAATAATTTTGGGGTTTATATATATTCAATTTAGGAAATGTGTTAATTTGAATAGTGAGGGCCAGCCTCAAGCTATATCTCGCTTTAGCACTTACTTACTGGTTCATGCTGATATGTGTGTATATATCCTCTACCACCATATCCGAGGACGCTCATTCCATATCAGCATCTTCCTGGGATTGAGTCCAGAAATCAGCTCCCAGAATTTCGTCCGCGGCTGTTACTGCTGATTGGTATTGGGCGGCTTTAGCGCGGTCCTCTTCAGCCCATTTCTGTTTCAAGGGAGCCATCATCTCCTCGACTTCTTGTTGCCATTCTAAAAGCATTTCTATATTGAAGTCATAAGATGCTATGGAGTCCCCGGAAGGTACGATAAATCGTTCTATTTGCGGCTGTAGTTTCTGAGCTGTTTTCTTAGCGTGTTTCTTAGCGGAGTTCTCGACACCACGACGATCAGCTGCTTTGCGTGTATTAAAAATACGTCTCCGCCGTTGCCTGATGGTTCCAATGGTATAGGTTCTGATAGGCCATGGGTCCTGCGCAAACGCGACACCACCAATGTGATGTTTTGCTTGTTCAATTGTCATTCTAACAATAACCGACTCAATTCTTCGTCTCTCCTCTTTCCCATCAATTGTGTGCATAATAATACTTGCAAGATAAGCATTCTCGCTATGGCACCAGCGAGGGTGTTTTGATATTCCTTGTAGCATGTTTGCGGTGATTAATCTGGCTTTGAATTATGTATTTGAAACTTCTATCTGGCCAAATGTGATGTATGTGTAGGTAATTGCTTATGGAAGTTGCTTGGATATAAGGAAATATTACAGGGACACAGATTATATGGCTATTTAAGTGTTCAGTGTACATGTTGTCCAGGGATTGTTCTCAACTTCCCACAGGAAAATTCCACAGTTGTTCGAAAGTGATTCGTAAAAGTGGTTAACAAAATCGGAACAAAATCGGAACAAAATCTAGTCACAGAACAATGTACAGGTACAGCTCATGCTGAACGTGAAGTACTTTGCTATTAGAATTGCCACTGGAGATATGTAAATTGATTAGTTGTCTTGCAGGAAGAGTTACTTGGGTGTTGTGGTTCATCAAAAACTGGCCTGGTGGCGCAAAATGTGTGTATTGAACAACGCTGTTTATATTTTATCTAGTCCACGGTGATATTCTCGCGTCGCTAATCTCTCTCACAAATCTCCCCAGGAGATATTACCAATATGCTTATTCTCAATTGATATTTTATCCATTGTAATACTTGAAACGTTTCTTCTCACCATAGATTCTTGACTGAGAATGATTATCAGAGATATCCATTAAGGCTTGGAATAGCGAGAAATTTTTGGCCTACCATTAGATTAAAAAGCTCCATTTATTAGCGCCCCCCTTCTTTCCTCCTGAGCCCATAGAACGAAAATGAGCTTTGATCATATCGTAAGCTGCGTCTTCATCCTGATCAATGATTTTCTTCTTTGGAACTTTATTCTCAACAACAGTTTTTGTGATATCAGACTTGCCGACGTCAGGTTTGACAATGTCTGGTTTCTGGAAATGACCGCGAAGGTTGGAGAATACTTCGTTGTAAACTGTGTTCATGTCTGTGTCCTTTGATTCGACCGTGACATTCATGGTTTCTGTTGTCGACGATGAGTCGACGGTCTTCTCTAAGACCAATCCTTCCATTGGCCTAACTAAATCTTCTGTGGCTTTATTCATCTTCGGTTTGGTTGCTGTGTTTTTGGTAATGCCGTTGGTTCGAATTCGTGCGCTCATAACGGTTCTTTTCTGCTCCTCTCGAGGATCGATCGCTGATGGAGCCATTATAAAAGTAGTCTTGTCTATATTGGTAGTTAGCAAAGTCCTTTCTACTCGCGATCTGGTTTGTAGTTTAATAAAGAAAGACTGTAAGACATTCAAAGAAAGTGAGACTTTGAAACACCCGAAGAGTTCAATCAACTCAACGTCATCCGACTGAGTAAAATATTAGGAAGTGGCTTACCTTTGCTTGTAGATTGATTCTGATGTTGTCTTGTTCGAAAGATTGGGTGATGATATTCGATGGTAATGAAACTTTATGATGATCAAAGAGTTTCTTGAATGTATAAATGAGAGAGTAGGATTGGTGAGAGAGAAGAATTTATATACCGCAAAACTGGTATGGAAGCTACGCGATTGCACGCTTGACATGTACTACTACCGCGCTAAACACATTCACTTTCTCATATGATGTTTCTACAATGGATCTCCAATATCGCGTCATGTGCTAGTCTCTTGGATTAAAACAAGGCGCTTGGCTGAACTCGGAAACTCGCTAACCTAAAATAGTGTGGACATTCACGCTTAAGTCGTACTATGAATGGCATTTATGGCTAGACAGGTAAATTTGAAGTGGCTTCTCTGTACTAGAGCCACTAGTTTCGGTAATTGATTTGGGCCATGAATGAAAACTTATTGAGTAGATTTGGGATACAAATTTGCCAACGAGTAAAGAGTGATTGTATATCTTTCTTGCCCTTTTGTTTTAATTCAAGAATCAAAATATCTGACAGTAGTTTTTGTAGCATGAATACTTTATCTATGTGATGACCAATTTTTATTTGATCTTCATCTGTTCCCCTATTTTCCGTCTAGAATGGGAAAATCTGGGGTAATTCATGTGGGTACATTTAAATGTGCTAAAGCTGCCTAAGATATGACTTGACACATATGATGAATTACATGCTATTGAACATCAGTAGTTCCTTTCACGCATAACTCGTCATGTTACCATCGGATTACGTAAAGTTTCCGAAAGTCATCTGTCTGCGTTACTACACATTATCTAATGATTAATGTAGCCACGTGAGATAGCATCCCAAAAGGTTTATGGGTCGAGCAGCTGTCTGTCTAGCAAATTATCAGTCATCAAATAAATGTAGAAATGTAGCCTTGGAACTTGGGGTTGGGCTACTAGAAGAGTTGGTTGACATAGGCATGATTTTTATCCTAATTTTCATTAATTCAACACTATCATAGAACACCTATCGAGCCTTTGTAGTATTTCTAAGTGCTTCTGGGTGTTTCGAAAAGTCTTTTACCAGCTCAGTATTGCTAGCTTCAAGAACTTCAATGTTGCACGTCTAGAGATTTTGCCACCACCTGTTCAATTTTTAGATCCTGCTACTCCCGACGCTTCCCTCTGCTGCGATAAGCGCCGGGATCATAATACAAAGAAGTTTCTCAAAAAATACCATTAAAATTTGTAGTTATCTGCGTTGGATTCAAGGGCACTGGAATGCTTAGGTGCAGAACAAAATACAAGTACAGAGCAGCAGACGTTCTGAATCACAAGTTTTGCGAGATTTGATACCCGCATTCTTCCTTCAGCTCCCCGTTTCTGGCCAAGATAGAGACTCTATCCTCTCCTTCTCCTAACTTATCCATACTTAGCAGTGTGAATGACATCGAGTTTCTTTTGGCTGCTCGTCCCCACGAGTGGGGACATGCTCCATTCCCAGATGGAGTGAAGGACATAAACTAATTCCAAATTGTGATGAGTCAAGGAGGTAGAAAGAATAGTCGACTATTTCTCATACTTGCCAATGAATTTTGTACCTTCCGCCTTCACTGATTCAGCTCTGTTTTGTATTACTAACAACAAGCTATCCACAAAGAATCCAACAATCCCATTATGTAGTTGAATAGGTCCCGTGTATGTATAGATGATTGCATAAATTACATCATGGGGGAAGCATAGAGTTCAGGCAGTTGATTCCATCACAAGTGACCATCTCGAGACTTTTTCAGGTCACTGACGGTTCATTTGCAAGTTGCAGTTCAGCAATCAACGCAGGTATCGATTGAAAGAGAAGTTAAAGGGAAATAATGGAAAAGAATGATGGACGGAGTCCATCATAGATTACAGAACATAGTAAACTATATCTCGGGTCTACATACTATGAAATGGATGCACGCTACAACTCAAACATCTCTATACCGCTAGATTTGTCGCATGATTGATTGTGTTCTATCTCAACATAATATCTGTATGTGGACTGGAACTAAGGAGGTGGGAGCCGTCGCGGAAGGATGCATATAAAGCTATTGGTCTCAGACTAGAGTTTCCAATAGTCTAGTTCGAGAACAATTAATATTCAATTCTTGAAACTCACTAGAACGATGAAATCCTTCGACATCGGAAAACAATCACAATAGTAAAATGTCTCTCGAAAATGCTAGTTCCCATCTTATCTCTTGGCCCGAACTATCGGACCCTCGTTCCAGAATGCATGCAGAAGGGAAAATTTGCGTGTAAAACAATTCGAAGAGGTATGCTAACAGTTCCTTGACATGTAACGAAAGGAGTAGTTATTCTGTTGCGCTTGCTCTTGCTATCATGGTAACAATTTCTGGAAGAATTCGTGAATCTTTCGGTTCTAAAAAGTCGTGTGTGTAGATGTCAATTAAGATATAATTTGTGGAATCAACCAAAAACCACTAACAATTGAGAAGAACCCTATGAACCGAAACATTCTATCTATTAACAGTAACAAGATTGAAGGATCGAAACTGCGATTGATGTTCTGTTTTGAAAATGTTTTATCATAGTGGACGTTGTCATTCCACGTCTAGTTAGGAGGTTGATAGTCGCAAAATTTCTTTTGAAAGATCATCGAACATTTTAAAAGCTCCTATCTCTTGACAACAGCTAGTGAAATCTCAACTTCGACAGCTATGTTGATAACAAAATGAAGCGAAACTGCTCAACTTGGGTCTAGTATCCACATGCTTACCAAGGATGTCGCAACTCTCTTGTGACAGAAACTCCCAAATCTTTCTTGATTTCTGAATAGCCGCAGTTAATCCAATGATGATATGTACTCTTTTCCTTACATACAATGTGTACTATCGGATTTCCCCCTTCCACCAATCACTACTCTTCCCCTACTTTCCAATTATGTATGCATTCCTTGCATCATCTTAGTCCGACTATGGATACGTGCATATATCTAATCCCTATCTCTACTAGCTTTAATGCTTTTCAAGTAAACATCCAATCATTAACTTTCCTCAAAAAGCTTGTTTCGAGGAGCTCAAGTACAAGCTTCCTTCCTGCTTACAGGAACAAGAGAACAAGTGTGATATGAAATTCTGGGGGTGAGTGTAAATGTAGTCTTAGCCAGTAAGCGCCTCCTCTTTCTCCAACTGAAGCTTCTGCTCCCCCAAGTTCGAGTTCTACAGGTTTCAATTCGCTTTCCATCTCATCTCTATCAATTTTATACGTATCAAACAATCAACATATAATTGTATACTCACCCACATATTTATTAAAGTATTATTGTCACAAAGCATCGAAATTGATCAACTGCAATATGACTACCAGAAAGAGAAAGGCTGAAGACGAGGAGCTCGTTGCTCTTCCCTCGGATGAGAGCGAGGAGGAAGAAGAGTAAGTGTTGCACCTCTCCTCGATTTATTGAATTCCTGTATACATTTAAATGGGCTCTATCCATTATATCTAGCTGTCAGCTGCGTGTTAGTTGATTGGATCATACATAAGTCACCTTTTGGACATTGTATTTTTCGTTTGGTATCGGTTTACCGATTATCACATCGCTTGATTGGACATACTTGGCCGCTCATTCTTTCATTGAAAAAATCGCAACTAATTGGCGCGTTTTAATAGATATGAAGACTCCGAAGCCGAAGCCGCAGCAGCAGTATCTGCTGCATCCGATGAGGACGATAGTGACGAGGACGAAGAAGGATTAGAAGAAGAGGAAGTTCAAGGTATGCGACACGACGCGACAACCTGCAAAGATTCATCCATCTATAGCCACCAACTATTACAAACATACTAACGAACACTTGTATAGAAACGGCACCACCATCTAAAAAGCGCAAAGTCGTCACCAACGATGTATCTGTCGATGAGAATGAAATTGTTCCTATCGACGACGATGAAGATGGCGATGACAACGAAGCCGAAGCCGACGATGATGGAGTAGAAGACGAAGAAGATTCCGCTGCCGAGGATTCAGTTGGCGGTTCTGGACCTACCAGTAAAGCTGCTGAAATAAAGGGAGGAGTTGTTCCTGAAGAGGACGATTTGGATGAAGTTCCAGAAGCGATTGCTGATGATGAAGATGATGAGTAGATAAGCAAGCTTATCGTCGTATCGTTTCTACGATGCGTGGGTATCCACCTCAAGTCGAAGACCGTGCGGCATGCGAAATAAGAAATGAATGATTGGGATGAGATGAGACGAGTGATGGATTTCTGGATGGTAATTTATGGGCTGCCGATGAACAACAGGAAGTTGGCAATCTGGGTGGTATGGATAGATGTAATAGGCAACAAAAAAGGGGCCAAATGAAAATTGTTGTGTTGATTTAGTTGTTTCCTTTCTTCTTTTGTTTTAAGCCGACCTAGTTCTTCAGAACTTTTATATATCTTCTTCTTAATCACATCAATTGTCACAATGTCCACATTGAAACTTTGGTCTTCTTACAGTGACCCTAACCCACAAACACACGACTTTTTGTCATTGACGTCAAGTCCATGCATGCACCGGGGCGACATTTGAGCAAATGAGTACGAGCACCGCGCATCGTTGGCGTATTCCTACCGCTGCAACTAGGAAGAGCACCGATAGTACGAATAGATAGTTTTGGAGCCAAGTCACACTTCTAGTAACTCGAAATAGCGGTATCCCAATTGCAATCTTAATTTTGACCGCACTTGTAGTTCTTGACATCCATTGCCAACTACCTAATAACAATGTCTCTCCGATGTAATTCAGGCGATGATTGAGCCCCAAGAGATGAAGCCTATGTCAAGTAGGATGGAACACCGAGACATCAAATTCACACACTATTTTCCACATTCGATATCCAATCTGAAATTGGTATCATTATACAACATAAGATGTTCATGTTCTCAACATATGACTTTATTTGAGCGATTTGATCTCCCGGGGTTTCCGTCCTGCTGAAGCCTGTTTGACCCCTTCATCTTAACCGAAATCCGAACTTACACCTTATTTCATCTCATCATCTCAGTTAATGATGCGCTTCTTATTATATTCTTGTTTCCCTCAGTGATGTGTTTTCATTCAAATCATAATTAGTGGACTCCACCATTGGTCAGCCAGGACATGCTTGAACCGACCCAGCAATTTCATTTATCGCTACCATCGTCCAAGCACATGGGAAATTTGCACCACTTGTACCACTATCGCCAGAGTGGGGAATTCAATCATTACAACCGCGTTTTGTGTCTGTTTGATAGGGTTGTAGCCTGCGTACAGAGCGTGTCTAAACTTTAAAGACACGGCATGAAATGGTTTGGTGCCTTTCTCATGTTATTTATATTACGAGGTACGGAGTATCGTGAAGAAGTATTCAAGCTAGGGACCTGAAAAGCTACGCCTAATAGCCACCGCAATTTGCACTCTTGGATTGAGAAGAACATGCGAAAGGAACAGATTTTCATACGAGACTACCAAATCTATCATGGATGACTATCTGTTTCAAATTTCCCCATGCCAGTAATCGAGAAAGTCCCTACTGGGTGCTCATGGCGTCGTTATTTATGCAAGACGGCTGAATACATCTGGTATCATTTCTTTTTTTTTCCCACTCCGTGCTTTGGCTCCTCCCTCACTTGGGTCGGTGCCTGTATATCTTTTTTCCTTCCGTCTTTCCCATTTATTGATCATGATTCCTTACGACCTGCTCAAGTAATAAAAGATCGTATCGCATCATATGATTACCGCGGCGAATCTCCAATCATTTATTTTGCTTCCTCTTGAGCTATACAAAAGCCTATCAAGTCGTTTATCACAATCGAAACAGGGGTTTATAACCCTACGATTAAGATATAGATCGACAGTGAGAAAGAATCCCTGGTCGAAACAGCCCCCCCACGACTCTATATCCACCAATTCCATCTATCTGTTGATGTACCTGTGCTTTCACTACCCAACCAAGCACTTTTTATTTGCTTAGAAAATCCTCATACAATCTTTTACAACGACAATCTGTACTTCCTTTCAGCCAAAACGTACCCTGGCGGTTAGCAGACGTTGTTATTCTTAACATTCATTCATTCTCTGTCTTCTCCATCATTCTTTTCCTCTATAACGATCGCTCACGTCACCACTACTTTCTTGCTTCCTTCAAAGTCCCCAGTTTTAGGGCAATTCCTCGATCCACAATCCCACCTGCCGTGTTCCACGGTTTGGCTGTCCTGTCTTTGTTGTCGTTTGAAGAAAACATAACTTTAAGAGGGGCTTTATTATCTCCTTGACCCGCACTCCCTTTTTCACCGAGTCTTTGACTTGGCCACATTACTTTCGGGATAGGGTTGATCTTGATCGTTGCTTTTTCCTCTTGTTGCTCACTCACCTCAATCATTGACCGTTTCTCTATTTTTACCTGCTTGCTGAGCTCGCTCACTGACACTCTCGCTATAAGGTTTTCATATATGCTGTTTTCTTTTGTGTTTTTATATTTATGATTTATACTGATTGATACCTGCTTCGTACCTTCTATTTTCGTTCGTTTGTCCATCACGAGTTACCTTGGGCACCCATTTTTTTTTTTCACACGAACCTGTTGTCAGAGTTTGTGGAGGGATACCCACCCACCATTTGATTGAAAGACTCAAAAGAAAGGCCGAATCCTTCCCGAAGATGCCTTTCACACGCCGTCTTTCCCAATTCTTTTCCCCATCACCTTCGTTGCCGCTGCCTGAGAAAGACATGCATACTGTTGATATCGATACTTCTCCGCCTATTTCTTCACCACCTTCTATATCGGAGGAAGTCACTGTTACGAGTACGATTGCCGAGGAAAACGAGGACAACAAGGAGTCAAGTCATGTATCCGTTGAGCAAGTTCCCCAATCAACTAAGAGACCTCGACGAAAAACGATAAGAAAAATCTTCCGTAGATTCTCATTCCAGTCACTTCCTAAAGACTCTACACATACATCTTGTAACTTATCGCAAGTCCACCATGTCTTTATGGTGGAAACCCCACCGAATCTACCCGCTCTCACAACCACAACTGATGTCCCACCTCTCGACCTCCATGAACCAATAGATTACACCAGAATTCAAGTCTCCTCCCTTCCTTTCCCTTTTCCCGAGCTTGCATCGCCTCTTCGAAAATCTCTCAATGCCGACCCCAAACTCAATTGCTCCGATTCCGGTTACTTTTCTCTAGCCTGTAACTCTTCATCCTCTCTATCGCCTGCCCTTCCATCACTTACTTTACATCTCGTCCGCCGAATTAATAAAGCTATACTCTTACTCGAATATCAAGAATTGTTGACTACACGTTTCTCAACGAACTTAGCCTACTTATTTGGTAAGAAAGAAATGGCAATATGGCGGACAAGAAAGTTGAGTGACGATACGAAGGAATTAATAATCATCACATTGACAAAGTTGAGGGAATTGGTTGGGAAAACGATGGTTCATAAGATGGGATTAGTGAGGAGAAGCAGAAGTGTATTGGGAGAGGTTGTGGAAGCTATTATCTCAAGTCGAAGACGGGATTCTGGTGTGGAGACAGAGACGCCAACTGCGGAAACCCCTTCAGAGACACCTTCGGAAAGTGCTTTAGAAACTCCCTCCGAAACAAGCGAGACAGCCCTCAGCCCTGAAATTATTGGAACTTCGAGAACGCAGACGAAATTAGAAGTCCAGGCTAAAATGAGAGAAGCTTTAAAAATCCTCAGAGATGATATTGGAATGCAAAGGAGGTTAGATGAAGTTCTTAGAGCGGGGATTGTAGGGAGTTGTGGGGATGAAAGATTGATGATGGGATTGCCCAGTAGAAGTGAGAGACTTTGTCTAAGGAGATTTGTGGGATTTGTGGAGGGAAGAGTGACCGAACTCGGTGGTGCTTATGCGAGGGTTGAGAAGGCTGTTGGTGGACTAGAAAGATCGGGATACGAAAAAGTGGTGATCAAATGAAGGATCTGAGTTGTAATAAGAGGAAACAATGGGACAGACAAGCAATATATCTGGAACGAACGTTAATCTCGAGTCAAATGGGAATGGAAATTGTCATTCCGCTTGCTGGCCGATAACGAAATCACATATTTCTGGGGGTCAGCAGGCCGCGGAACACCACAGGTTTATGGCAAAGAATCTCGCTAGGGTGGAGTAAATAGACGAGAGGGACGAGGCAGGTACTCCTGGTTACACGGAACAGGCGCGTGCTTAGAAAGCTTTGAATACTTATGGATGGGTTAGGTAATGATATGGAGTTTGATGAGTGGAATCACTGGGATTGGTCAATTTAGATACGAGGAGGCGAGTCAATGGTATTTTTGCATATATGGGAGTAGCAGGAGCGGATGGGATGGGATAGAATTGGAATATTAGAAAATTAAAAAGAGCCACTTCTTAACAATATCAGAATATTATCCGAAAATAATGTGAGGAGCGAGACGGAGGGACTCGCAGTATTTTACCTTGCGTCATTCTCGTGTCCCAGGTCTATTATCCTTGATCCTCTAAGTGGAGTCCCGATCAGGAGCCACTTCTCGTATTCAGTGAAGTGTTTTTCTCCACCCCCTCATTCTCCACTACCCTGAAAGGCTTGGCTATATCGTATGGATAATTAGAAAAGTCATTCTTGACCGGCGCTATGAACTTCTTGTTTTGAACACAAGTCTAGTTTCTTGGATCTCGGGAATGTTGTCGTCAGGGGTAGTCGTCGATTCCCACTTGTTCTCTTCAGAATTTGGTGAGTCTGAACGACTTGTATTGATGTTGAGCGGGAAAGATGTCCGAGCATGAGAGGTGTTCGTGTCGGTGTTTTTATGTGCCTTTATTGTCGATTTTGAATTTTGTCGATGGGGAATGAGAAGGGATGGAAAGAAACATGTTTTTCAGACGAATCTGAGAAGAAAACCCCCAAGATTTAGGGCTAGACTTGAAGAATTTCCTCGTTCGGCATAGGTTAGGTCTTGGGAAGAGAGAGGTGAGAAGTTCCTTGGATCGTATCAACGCCAGTTGCCTCAGGTTTATAAAGAGCATGAATAAGTTGGATTGGTGTGGTTTTATGCTCAGAGAGGAAGAAGTAAGAAGAGAAAGCTAAGAAGGAAATTTTTGGATTTACGACACTCAGTTTTGCGAAACTCTGGATTGGTGGATGTGAGTTTCATGGGGTCGAATGGACGAATTGGTTGTGTCTTGCTCCGTCGATACATCCAAGTAACTAAAATTTGAACGATATCGTTTACTTGAAAACGAGAACTCATGAAAGAGAGTGTTTGAAAATGGTGAAGGGCATATTCAAGGAGTACGCTTGAGTACATCGCCATAGCTGAGAAAATAGATGGAGTTTATTCTAGACTTTCATGACCTCAACAATCAGAAAAGCTTCGAGATAGGACATCAAGTGCTGTCATTTCTGGAAGACGTAAGAAGATAATGGTATGGAATTGGAAATCATATCAGGTGATCACCAAAGTTATTATTGATGGTGAAAATTCTAGCGATGGAGTATCATTTGTTGAGAGAGGAGAAGTATATTTGGCGTTTTGTTAGCTAGTGGCTCCTTACAATCCGTCTTGAATATTTATCTCGTTCTTTAGTGAAGATCTATGGTGGAGTCGGAGGCTGACACGTTGTTGAATTCTGGCTGTGTATTTCATGAGTTGATTATTTCTCTTATGAAAAAGTTTGAAGGCTGAGTTGAATGGTGAATGGCTGTTATGGACGAATATTGGTGCAATGGTACATGATCATTCCTGGGGACTAATGACCGGCAGAGGAGGAGTAATGATATGACTAGCCAATCAAACAAGGCTACTGTACCTAATTGTTGAACTAAGCCTGCATAAAGCTCGGAGGCGGTAAATCGCATATTTACATTCACCATCACATGCATCCCAAACTACACTTTCTGGGTCTTCTTTCTCCAGCCCCACTAGAACATAATAAGCAGAGTATACATAATTTCTGTCAATGTACACTCTGGAGACAGCAGACCAGAGGGAAGATACCAGGTACAAGAAAGTTGCAGATGCTCTGCAGACATTCCATCACATTGGAGAGCACGTTGAGATTACTCTTGTGAAGGAATAGGTTTTAGAAGAAGAGAAAAGTTGAGTGAGCAAGATTAGAATCGTTACTTTCATCAGTACAAATAATCTATTGTTGTTAATTTAAGTCAAGCACATGGAGTCTATTGCTTTAACTGAATCATGTTGCAGGAGTCGGAATGTGCTGTTGAGAAAATTTGATAAACTATATCATAGCAAAGGAACTAAGAACATTGGTATCAATAAGATATGCAATGAAAGATCTTCAATGCAGCAGAAAAAGTTCCTTGTATATCAGACGTTGTATAAGATGTTTTAAATCTGGTCTCTTAAATACAGTCAACTTTCGTATGGTATGGTGTTGGAAGCCCAGTGAATTCTTGTGTCAATCTTCAAAAAAGGAAAGTAGAGAAAGCCTGTCGATTATGGATTTTTGACATCCGATGCAAAAAATCAAGTCTAATAATATACGAACTTTTTCTTCAATGTTTCCCAGGCTATTCACTTTCTAATTTATGAAACCTAGGAGGAATAAACACATTTTTTTGATTTTATACATGATGACTTCCAAGATATATATCAATATGATCTGCCTACGTCAGTTGCTACAGCTAGTGTTAGTGAATAAATAGGACAAAGATCATGTGAAAGGTGCTGTAACAAAATCTGCAGCAACAAATAGCACCAACTCGAAAGCTATGTTCAAGAAGAACTGAGCAATCTATTATTGTATGTTCTTGGGACTTCCTGAGTGGTCGAATTATATAGTGCAGTATAAAGTTCACCTTAGTGGCTTCTAGAAACTCGCTTATCATCAATAGAACAACAGACTAATAAATAGACAGTACTACTAGCAACTTTTGCTCAAGGAGAATGGCATAGTCCCACATCAGGCCAGCACTTGAAATAATAATTTTTCCCACCACAAAATTTTACAACAATCATACAAAGGGTCCAGAAAGAATTCTGCCCCCTTCTCGAATTTGATAGCACGCTTCGCATGCTGCCCGCACTTTACGTTCATCCTTGAATATCCTTCGATCATCAGCTGGCTCATGATTGATTTACACAAAAATTCGGGCCATCGAACAAGATTCACCCAATTCTAGCAAATTCCAGGCACCGTCTTTAAATTGTTACTGTAAGCGTTCACTTCATCCCCTCATCACAAAGTTCTTCATGACTTCTTCTAACAAATATGCACACAAGCTCGAGGTTTCGACATATACTCGCCATGGTTAAGCGGCTATTCATCGATACTGATGAAGTATGGTCCAAGTTGGGGGCAGATTTCAGAGAACTAAGGACCAAACAATGTAAATCACACGCTGGATCAAGTCCCAATTCCCCCCTACCAGTTTCCACCCCAACTCCAACACCGCCCCCTGATCCAATGGAAAGCGTTGCTTTTTCTTCGATAATCGCATGTACCGATAATACATCTTCAGTCGACCCTTTCGATCTATCAAGGTCCCCCTCTCCACTTTCGTCACTCAGCTCTGTCTCTACCGACATCAGCATGTTCGAAGAACCAGCTGAAATAGAGAGTACGATGGCCCCCAAGGAATTTCTCATGAATCTCTGTACCATCAGATTCAGCAAGACATATTATCTAGACTTCCAAATACCCTGGACGCATCGCGACCCATACTTCGATCTTTCCCAGGATCCAACTTTTTGGCCCGAGTTTTTCTACTACAATTCGAACTATAATCACGCAAATACCTTTGTTCCCTACATTCGATGCTGTCTCCACATGATGCGCGAGAAGACTGGAGATGTGAGCAATTTGCTTGCTGCTCTCGTATTTGCTTGGACATACAATGATGATTCAGGAACCGCCGGCTTTTGGGCAACTCTCTACGAACAGATTATGGCAATGTTGCCTTTCAAGAATGCAGTCGGTCAAGACATTGTTTACCTAGGAAGATTCGAGATGCCGGGCGGTGTAAGCATAGCCTGCTGGAACAAAGCGATGCAGGAATTCTTCGAAGAAAACGGCCATCTAGGCGAGTTTGTGTATTTTGGAGTCAGTGTTAACCATGGGTTTGAATGGGTTCAAAGAGAGCAGGTAGAGGGAGTTTTAAAAGGGGAGCAGATGGAGAATGAATGGGTAGTCGAGTTACCAAGAAACGAATACTATTGTTGAGCAGTTTGGAGGACGATGAGGCTACACTTGGATACGATTAGTGTTCAATGCGGTGGGCTATTCAAGAATCATCGTACACGGAATGAAGAACTTATGATCTGAACACATGGACTAGATCATCTGATTACCATAAGATACTGTAACAGTCTATATCACTTACATGGCCCATGGATGGTGACCCTTGTCCCGTATCTTCATTGTATCGATATAAATGTATTTCTGTGATGCTATACTGAAAAGAGATAAAGGCGAAATTTTAGATTGGTACAGGTAAAAAGTACTAAAGTCTCTTTAAGTACAGGTTGAATGTCACCATGACAAACGGCATACAATGTACGCATCGACAATCAAATTTCAGCGTGGTTCATTTCATTTTCGTAACTTTAACCCTCCTTTAACCTGTCAAATCTTTGCAGAAGGAAAGATATAGAACAAGCAGATCAGAGAAACAGGTTCCCGGTTGTGAATGTTAATACCGATCTAATTCAACGATCAGTTCCGGCTCCAGACACTGGTCTGGTCTCGTTTGGAAAACCAGAGGGAATCGAGCTGGAAAGGTACTGCTAGTCCCTGTATGAAGTGAAGGAATTGGATGTTTTGGTATTTGAAGTACCCTCGCGTGGGCGGAGATTGAATTAGTTGTGTTTGAGTATGTAGTCAAAATTTCCAGTCACAACGATCTTGCTCAATAATGAAATAGAGAGACGATCTGATGTCCAGTTGACCGAGGTCTTCGACCAAATGATAAGTCACCAAATCTCTCCACCTCACTCAAGCTCATGGTACGGGATCCAGAAGGGAGACTTTGATAGCAAATCGGATTACTTGCTTGTCTAGACAACGAGATGAGCATCTAACTAATCCTCCACCGCTTGGTGGAAAGACATTTGAGATTTGTATTGCATGGAAACTATCCAATGACCTACGGCACTTCATGCATATCACTGGCATTCATCTAATATCATAGGTTGTGTTTTGGAAGTCGTCATTCAAGTTCTAGTGAACCGGGTTGTGGTGATATTTGACGTTATATGATGAAGTGCGGTGTATCGGTGAGCTTATCAAAATTTAGCGCCGGGGAATTCGGCCTAGCCCGTCATTGTTTAAACTTACTTATTGTAGACACCGAAACACTTCATAAAGCTCATACTTCGACAGCTCTTTTCTTTTCTTTTCTTTTCTTTGTTATTCCTAGATGTTTTAACTCAATATTCTATGGTGAGTAGTATAGCGACACGGGTAGTCACCATGATTCCTTCAAGGGCATGGAGGACCCCGCACAGCAATCATGAACAGCACACATCTTCCCAGGAAAATGTGTATCAAAGTCACACAACTGGCCGACTTGGTGGAATTATCCACCCAAGCATTTGTCAATCGGCACAGATTCAACCTAGGAAAGTTATGCCGATGGAGTTTCTTTCCGTTGATCTCACCTCCTTCGTGAAATATTTGCCATCGTTATCGTGATTTTCCACGAGGGTGGGCGCAGTTTGAGGTTAAGGCTGATTTCATATGTAAGCTGCAGGGCCTCTCAGGACACATCTGAAAAGGTATTGGATATGTTTGTGTTCAATCCTTGTCGTCATTCCTTCTTATGGGTCTTGGGGCTCAGCTTGGATTTCTTGCAGTGTTCCTGAGCATGTCGAGAGAATAAGCATGCAGTGCAACTTCTACCACTCTTGCTACTAATATTCTGCATGCTCTACCGTTTCGTTTGTCGCAGTATTCAATGAATATTCTCATTCTGCCTCGGGTTCGCCATCGCGATAAGTCATCCTATACTCAATGGATCCCGTTACTGTTCTTGGTGTCGCGGCATCGGCCCTGCAGATTGCTCAATTCATTGGGTCGACGATTCAAGGCCTCCACACTCTGCGGGGAAAGTTTAAAGATGCAGATATAACCATTCGCCTCATAATTAGTAAACTTTCAACAATAAAAGCTGCCGTTTTCCAAATTAGAGACTGGGCGGAATTCAATTCGCATGATTCGCCAAAAGAAAGGCAGTTCATGGATGGACTTCATGTCGCTCTCGATGGATGCCAGGCTGCAATTGATGTACTTTCTGAAGAAGTAAAAGACCTCACAGTGGCTACGAGGGACTCAAATGATGGAATGCCAATTGTACTTGGGGTCAGAGGAAAAGTGGCAGCAGTATGGAACGAGGACACTATGAAGGCTCATGAAGATAGATTACATGGCCAGGTGCAGGCTTTACAACTTCTTCTCATGGCAGGACAATGGTAAGACCCCGATTGTCGAAATTTCAATATTCTAGCCAATATGCTCATGCCAAAAGTCGTGATGCGGTAACTCAAAAGTCTCTATTAGCACTCAAAGAAAACCAAAGATTGATACAAAAAGTTGCCGACGACACAAAATCACTACGTGAGAGTTCCGCCGGATCACAAGTTTCAAGAAGCGCACGCCAGTCTATATTGGGGAGTAGTATTGGCGGAACGGTTTTTGAATTCGATCGCACACTACAGGATTCTCGGCCATACTACAATACAGATCCAGTGAGGGGAGCTCCAGCTCTTGCGCACGCAAAAAATCAGCTTCCAGAAACAAATTATACTGCGACGACCGACGAAGGCTATGAGACAGGAATCACACTGTCTGAGCCACGATCTCCAGTATCATCGAACCATCGCCCCAGCTTGGACAACCGTCCCTACCTTGGTCAAACAAATCTTTTGCCAGAATTCAATAATTTTAACATATATCGTAGCCGCAGCGTTGCGTCGGATTCTGCCAAATCAGAACCTATGGTCAAACGATGGTTGTCCTCATCTTCATCTTCCGGAGAATCATTACCGCAAGAAGATAAAATAGGTGGTTCTCGAAGGAAGAAGTTCTGGCCTAGTCGACTTGGAAAGATTAACACTTTCAGTGCTTCTAGTTTGTTATCAAGCCCCGATCGGGTGAAGTCCGCCAGCCCGAGTTTACCTGCCGTCAATCGATTGAAACGAGGACAAGACACAAACTTCAAACAAAGTATTGATTTTAGCTCTCTAAATGGGCTCCAGACGCCTACTATTGTTCGAGCAGCTCAGGCAGGATCTGGTGTGGAAATTCAGGCTTTGTTGTCGAATGGAGATAATATAGAAGCCTATCATGGTGGTACCAAAAGAACTGCTCTCGCAGTAGCTTCTCATTGCGGCAATAGTGAATCAGTTGATCTTCTTCTTCAATTCAATGCAGATCTGACTACTCGAGATGTCAATCTAGACACCCCATTACATCTAGCAGCATCCCGGGATCACTACTCCACTTTACAATTACTACTCAATGAAGACATTGACATAGAATCGAGAAACAAAGACGGATGGTCTCCTTTGTGGGCAGCTGCACAAAATGGGCACGTCAGATCTGTCGAGCTATTGGCAAAGAAAGGAGCAAAAATCAATTCGAGATCCAAGGATCAATGCACGGCTCTGCATGCAGCAGCGAAGAAGGGAGATAAGCAGATGGTTGAAATTCTACTTCGTAACGGCGCCGACATGGAAGCCAGAGATAATCAATTCATGACTGCATTGCATTATGCTTGTGAGAATGGTCACCAAAATGTGGTTGACTACCTGTTCTAGAAAGGCGCGAGCATTGAAGTCCCGGGCAACAATTCCAAAACCCCACTTCTTTGCGCATCTGCAACAGGTCAATTACAAGTGATAGAATATCTCTCGAAGAGAAAAGTTAATCCGAAGAGCATCGATGAAAAAAGAGCTAATGCGTTACACTATGCTGCTCGTAACGGCTATGTTGAAGTCGTGAACTACCTGCTCGAATGGAAACTTTCAATATATGAAAGTGACATCGATGGCTTGACACCGCTTCATCTTGCTGTCATTGGCCAACATTTTGGCGTTGTTGAGTTGCTACTTCGAAAAAAAGCAGCTTTGGACCGTCGATGCAGAGAAGGCCGAACGCCGCTGCATTATGCCTGTGGGTCCGATAGCCCCGACATTGTCAGTCTACTGCTCAGTGCTGGGGCAAATGCCGAGGAAGAGACTAAGGGCGATAGTCGACGGCCAATCCATATTGCGGCAGCGAAGGGATCGGTGCGTATTGTGGAAATTCTCTATGGTAAAGGAGTTTCGATTGATCAGCGGGACTTTGGTGGTGATCGACCACTTTGCATTGCTTGTCGTCAAGGACATGTCCAAATCGTGGAGAAGTTATTATCGTACAATGAGCCTCTCAGAATGCGTTTCAGAGATCGTCCGAATAAAGACTCGCCTTTGTGTATTGCTGCCAAAGCTGGTCATCTCGATCTTGTTAAACTACTTATGAAGAAGGGTGCATCTGTCAAGGAACGCGACGAGTTTGGTTACATACCTTTAAGATATGCTGCTTATTATGGGCACCCGGAAGTTTTAGAGATACTCATGGATGCAGGCGCAGAACTCTATGATGAAGGCGAAGACTCACATGGCTGGGGATTCTTATTGATGCCTGCAACCATTGGATTCTCTGATAGCGCTGATATATCAGAGGACCGTAAACACCGCGTCCGCAAGCTGCTTGATGATATGGAGAGACGTTATCATGAGCGCGAGGACAGCAAAGACAATGAATATAGATCAAGCACTACAGCTGAGCTCGGTCGTGGGCAGAAGAGTACCGTGTACAGAAGCGATTCATCGATTCCGCGGCAGGAGCTTGGGGGATCTGTATTCAGGGGTCTCAGGCCCATTGAGCTAAGTGGAACTGATATTCGACTTCAAGATACCTCAGAGTTTTCGCTAGGCCCACTTCTCTCTCCACGCCAAGATGATGGAGGCGCCGAAAGAAGCAAATATCAAGTTTCTCCACTTGTGACCGAATCTACCAATACGACTACTCCCAAGCTCGGAACTCTTATTGATAACCCACAAGCTCCCTGGGAAAACTCTTATCCTCCACCCACAGTCTCCAAAGATGTTGCTACGCTCATTGCACAAAGGCAAGAAGAGATACGGCAATTGCAACAATACCTTACACCTCCGCAAAGTACAACCGCGATAGCATTGCCCCTAGAAAGTCCACATCAAATCTTCTATGAAATGTCCGCGGACTGAGATGCATTTGTTGTTTTGATACGATTAACATAGCGCACACACCCGAAAGAAATTAGATATAATACACTTGTTCCAGAAGAGCGTTCTTCGTGGTACGAAACATGATTTCAGTAACTCTATCACATGCTCCCTCCGTTCAAGCATCTCAGACAGACACTGGTCTGACGTAGGTCCCTGCATGGCAAAGTCGCGAGCGGATGTCTTCGAGACCCACCAGGCCGCCTTAGCTAGAAAAGTACAAGGATTACGAGGTGTATGCACGGGTGTCGTGATTTCTTCTAGAATGATTGACCCATAATGCTATGGTGGACCATTGTTATACTAGTCATTTGGAAAGCACGCAGAACCATTTTCAACTCATCCGACATCCCGCAAATTAGCATTACTGACTCGTGATAAATGAAAAAGTATTCGGACCCGACAATATAAAGCAAGCTTTCAATTTGATTATCATACTCTCTGGATTCTCAATCTCACCGGCCGGGCGTCTCCGGCAATACCCCATAGATAGGGCGTTCATTCTACGTCGGCTGAAAGAACATTGCAGAATGAATTTTATATCACCAACATTAATATTACCGACATGAAGAAAAAAAAGAAGTGCCATTAATTTATCGGAAGTTTTGGGTTCAGGGGATTTGGTGTCTGACACATGTTTTTTGCGTTCCATTAGTCTGATTCGTTTACATCTTGGCAGTCCACTGAATGGGTCGTCTGTTCTCAAAATCGCATGATTTATCGTCTCATAATTATTTCGGACATTCTTACAGTGAACAAATTCCATACGATTTTCAGATTATCTGAATCTACTTATGCATGTTTTATTTTGACAATGCTTTGCTTTTGTTGAGCATTCCGTGATGTAATGTTGAAGTATCTGTATGTATGTATGTATGTATGTATGTATGATAGTTTGATGCTAGACAGGGGAATTCGGCAGTGAAGCCGATGCGTATTCAAGCACGTGTTGCATTTACAATGGGTTGATATTTCTTCTCACTACATCTTTGCCCCAGGACTCCTTTACTAAACCTCTGTTTCCCTCTGGTTTCAATCCTTTTGCAAGATTAAATTATACTTCCATCATCAACAATGACCATAACCGAAAACAGCGCCCCGCTTAGAGTCATCATCATCGGTGGTGGACTCAGTGGTTTAACATTAGGACAACTTCTTGCAGATGTGCCGAGTATCAAAGTCACGCTCTATGAGCGTAGCAAAGGTCCGACCGACAGGCTCTCGGGATATCGTGTTATGTTATCTTCATTTGTTCTCCGAAATCTGAAGGGAAAACTGCAGCATGACGTGTGGCAGGAAATTGCGCCGAGTATTGGTATTCAACCTGGAGGGGGTCAGGAGATGAACTTTGTGAAAAGCAATGGCGATCCGATATTCACGTGGCTACCAGAAGAAATACAAGATCAGTTTTCTGTATCGCGCTGGCGCCTTCGGGAAGGACTCTTGCATTGGAGCGAATCTTTTGCGCGTTTCGGGAAGAAGTTCGACAGATATGAGAAATTACCGAATGGTGTAGTACGAGTACATTTCACGGATGGGTCGAGAGACGAATGTGATTTATTAGTTGGCGCAGATGGTATCAATTCCCAAGTCAGAAAGCAAATGTTTCCGCTTTCTAGAATACGGCCCACGGATGTCACAGTCATATATTTCAAAATTCCCTTGACATGGGAAACATTCAAATTAGCAGGCTCGCATAGTGGAGTTATGGTACAGTCTTTCTAAATCTCTGAAAAGTGCCTTCCTGCAGAGGACTGACTCGAATATAGGCCTTTTGTCCTGGCAACCAGAATATCTTGGTGCATTCTTGGCAGAATCCCATGAAGCCCTGGGCAACAGATTATACAGCGGATGAGATCGAACCTTCTGAGTCATTTATCATGTATGGTTATGGCAGCCCAGCGAGTGCTTTTATCAACAAGACAAAACCGCCAGAGGAGTTTACCCCCGTGGAACTCAAGACAGAAATCATTGCTCGTTCCAAAACTGATCGAAATGTACATCCCAACTTTTTACAACTGGCTGAGATGTGCTTGACGAACACGGCGTATCTGCACATGGTGAAGAAGTGTGATTCGGTAAAGCCATGGGACTCAACTAGTGTAACGTTAATCGGGGATGCAGTCTTTAAGTACGTACTTTTTACTTTGAGGCATTAGAAATATCGGTGACATATGACTAATTTTGGATTTAAGCATTATGACAACTTTAGGGAAGGGCGCCAACTGTGCTCTTCTTGACGCTGTCTCTCTCGCCGAAACAATTTCACCTCCAGTGTCTCCACCGTCAACATCACAAGATGAAAATATTCAGCTCACCTCGGAGAGTACTCATAGAGCTAGGCGCAAGCTGGCCAGTACAATGGAGCTTAGGCCAGCACTCAGAGCGTTTGCAGTGGAGAATGTCAAACGTCGCCACAGGGAACGACAAAGAAGTGCATTCCTCCAGAATCTTGTATACTTTGGCGACAACAAATTCAAAGAATACTGTAGAGAACGAGTACTGAAGAATGCTTTGGGGTGGGTTGAAGGAACAAAAGGCAGGAAGAAGGAACTTTATGGCGCGAGAGGTGAGACGAGAGATGTCGGTGGATTGTTATCGCCCAATGAGGTACCGTATCATATAAGTGACGGAAAGCTTGATCGCGCCGACGAGGAATCAATTATGGAAAGGCAAAGCTTTCTAGAAAGAGGCTGGGGGCTTGTAAGAGCCGATGAATTGGATTCGGAATGTGTGAGCGTCGCCTCAACGTCAACGCGTGAGTCAAAGAGCACCAAGGCTTCTTCATCGGCAGTGATTTCGAGGGAGTGTTTGACGGGGAATAACTCCTAGGCTTGGGAGGACTAAAGGATTGTTTTTGGATTATATGCTTGTAGTATACCCAGTTGTGGCAAATTGATGATATGTAAGGATTAGGAAGGATTTTGGGATAGACTTGGGTCGGAAAAGGTCGAGGGAAATCTTGGTTTAGACAATCTTGGACGGCCTTTTTGCATTACATTATTTTCACTCAATTAATATATGTATACTGCATACTCTGAGATAAGAACTGTGATGACAGGTTACATGCAGCTTGTGGTATTGTGAAATCATTTTCCTGTTTTGTATCTCAATTTTCTTTTTTCCTACTTTATCACATTCTCTTATGCAGAAAGCTTACATTCCTGTCAGGTGGCTAATATAAGCGTGTCTAGTTTTACAAGATGGAAACTTCATCATATATACGAGACTGTCGGCGAACGTCCATCCGAGACGGATGTATAAAACCATGGCAGGTATTGAGCTTCCATTATAGGGCTCTTTATATTCTATATCAAGATACATTGGAGTAGAGCTCGAGCGTTCCAAGTCTTTGACCTAGTGGTACAACCTGTGGCATCAATCATCTAACTCCAGTAATTCCACATAGGTATTTACGGTTCTCAACAATGTTTCACATTGATTAATCATGGGCCTTAACTGTCCCGAAAAGGTATTGAATGCGGCCGCATTTTGCAAATCCTCGCGTACGGTGAAGTTGCTGTATGATGGACAATTAGCTTAATCCACAAAAGCGAAGTTGCATCAAGAGGCTCAGACTATTCATATAGGCGAGAGTCATTAAATTCGAAAATCGTAATAGTTCAGTCGACATTAAACTCTAATTCCAGACATTGAGAAGATCGGAATTATCATAGCCAGTCGGTGAAAATCTCCAGAATTCGTCTCACAATCCTTCGTGTTCAGCCAAGAGTATCTGTCACGTTTGCACTTTTACAGGGAAAAAGCATACGCTTCCCAAAAATGTCGCCCCCCTCGACTCCAATCTCTTCATCCCCTCGATCACCCCACTCTCCACCAAGTGCGCCTCGTCCGAACAAATTTCGAGATGCCTTACAATCTTCTGTCGAAACGGAACAAAATATCAGAGCGTCTATTGATCATTATCGTGGTAGTATCATTACCCTCGTTGCGCAAGACTTTAAGAAGAAGATTGGAAAGAAGCTCAACGTGAAACAGAAATCCCAAACTGCAGGTTCGGCAGATAGCCAAACATCGGTCAATGTCCCTCCAGCTACTGCGAAACCTAGAGATCGATGTGAGACGTCGGCTGCGGGTAGGAGGCAGGTGGTCTATGGATCGGTGGAGGGGCATGCGGCGAATGATGGGTTTGTTAGGAGAAGTGAGGCTGAGAGGGAAGCGGAGAGGAAGTTTTGGTCTTGATTTGTGTTGCTGATGTTGATTACTACTCTGCTGATCTATTGCAGACAGCTTGAGTACTTATATCTAAATAGCGAGGAGGGCATGGCAGATGATTGGGCATCTCTTCTCGGAGAATATTCACTGGGAACATTGGCTTATTCGATGGCGGGAAACTAGGAACTAGGAAAGGCGAGCATCTTGTCAGGTACTACATTTATCCTAAACTCCTTTTATTCAATTAGAAGCTGATAAATTCACATATGAGATATAAATCACTTGTAGGGTTCATCCGAGATATTGCGATGTTCTCTTCACTTTTGAGCTGCATATTGATGCGCTCCAACATAAATTGGGGAGGTGTACCATGTCCTAACTACGACAAGAGTAGAAAAATTGGACCTGAGCTGGGTTCATCTTGTACTTATCATGGTTTTATGGTACTATGGGCATTTCACATGGGATTATCATAGTTTGTCGATAATCTTGATGGCGTTGATTAGAGAAAAATTTCATGTAGGCTGATTTTTCGAGAACTGAGCTAATCATGGTCTGGCATCTACTACACTCGACGGTCCCTATCCTGTGTTAGCTACGTGAGCAAAAGCTGCAGAATCTCACACGTATTGCTACATCTACATGTAGTGTTAACAAATACATCTTCTCAACCAGGACTACTGCGGAACTCTTCTACATTTTGATTGTGACAGACTGTGAATTATGATAACGAAAACAGAAACTTTTCTGTATAAAGTCGTCTCAGTGACACCTTATTTTGATAGCTTGGTATGCGGTCTCCAACGTGGATTTTCTACGGCTAATGCTATACTCAAGATGTTGAATCTATATCGGTACAACAAGAATGGTGTACGGCTGGTTCTCATGGATGATAGGATCATCTTTCCATGATAAACAAAATATGGTTGCATATTTGACAGTACAGACAGTAGGTACGGGCATTACGGTGAAACTAAAATCTCTGTATGCAAGACTGGACGTAGAAGGGAGATAAAAGGGAACTTTTTACTCGTCTACAATTTTAGAAAAACATCAACATTGACACGAATATTGAGACTTGAAGACTTCAAATACTTGAACTCCGGCCGAGCAAATCTTTTAAGAGATCTCTTTCATAATTGACTTTTATTTCCAGCTTCTTGTATCTCCACGATGTCTTCTTTATCTAAAATGGCATCCAAAATGACACTCAGAGACCTATTCAACACTTCGAAGAGCACTTCCTCCTCCAAGAAGACTCCTCGTGCACAGCGCCCCAGCAGGTTCAATGAACATCTCGAAGATAAGAACCGAAATGCTGAGGATAGACTCTATTTCACAGAGATAATGGAACGCGACGAGTTGGTCGAGGGTGCTTTTGAACAATACAAGAAGAAGTATCCTAGGCAATGGAACAAGCTTAGATGGGAGGCGAGCCATAAAGAACACAATGAGATATACGATGGACCTTCCGAAGGCGACGCCGAGTCTGTTCATATCGAATGGAGTGAAGATGCGATAAAAGAACCCACTGAAAATAAATTCGGAGGTCCCAAACGTCCTATCTCTCCAGTCAAGAAAGTTTCCCAAGACAAGGTAGCAAAGGGGATTGAGGTTGCAAAGAAAGCTTTGTGTTTTGGTTCGCTCACTCCTGAGAAGTGAGATTCTGTTCAGTCCGACCGAAGGACTGGGGCTTAGGAGATGTACCTCTCGGGGGAGTAGACATCCTGGTTAGCGGTACATAGGAAGGGTGAAGAGAATTATTTATGCATCGAATTTTGTGATATCAAGTGATCGAGTTGAAAATCATGCGCAAAAGGTCCGCCTATACATCTATGTGGGAGAGTTCTCGAAGGGAGTTTGATTGGCAGATTTAGCGAATGACCAGATTTTTTGGGGGGTGGAGGGATGGTTTGACAGCATAATGGAATTTCTATTCATTGATTTCATGATGGTCAGGATACTTGAGTGATTCAACTTTTAAGCTAGGAATATGATTTTTATTATCTTTGAGATACATGGTGAATTTGTGGTGAAATTCTGGTTATCCAGTTTTAAATTACAGGTCTTGTTGCAAGTGAAAATCGAAATTCAGGTGCCAGCTACTAACATTTCTCGGTAGCTATCATATCTCCATCATTAGTCAAATTCAGATGCGAAGGTTTTCAATTCAGCCACGAGTACATAAAACAAAACGACTTGAGGGTGCTTATAACAAGCTTACTTCTTTCCTTCGCATTTTATGAATCCGCGTATGCGGATATCTGCCTGTGTATGGATTCGGCTAATAACTGAGCGTTGTTGGCTACTCCAGATCTTCAGGTTTCTAGTACGGCCTTGAATTTGTACAGTTACATTCTTTTTCCGCACATCACTGGATCAGGCTGCCACGAGCTTAATAATGTTTTACGACACAGCCGGATGAATTACCAAGGCTCGTATCTCAAGTAACCATGTAATATTACGGCTGTTGTCATTGTAATACGTCTCTCTCGAGTAAACAGCTACTTAAGTAGCCGTATATGCTTTGATTCAGATTCAAATGCAGCGCATTCTTTTGTAAATAAAATCATCCAGCCAACCACTCAAAATTCACATTCTTGGTCCATCACTTTGAAAATCAATATTCAGAGAAGTCATCTCAGAACCATTGCAGCGACTGATCTCTGATTTCAATCACATTCTAAGAACATACGAAACCACTATCAGAATGTCTGACTATCCTAAATTTGACGCTTCTCGTAGAGTCTGTTTCGATACCAGTGTCGCCAAGTCTCCTTGCAATGGACCTACCGTTACCCGCAATCTAGTAAATGACGAGTATCACCTTCGAATGGGTTTTTCCGAAAAGAAGATGTCGATCAGATCGAGTCTGATACCACAAAGCGAATTGGAGATGTCAGATCAAGAGCGTTGTGAAACAAAACGTGTTATCCGATTCGAACCCGAGACAAAGGCTGTTCGTCAAGATCATCATATGAACGAAGAATACTACCATCGCATGGTAGCTATCGAAGCCAAAATCCGTCAAGATGCGGATGAGAAACCACAAGATACACAAAATCATATTAGATTCGCCGACGCTCTCAATACTTCTCCCCGTGAAAGCGCTGAGGTTACTCGCGAATCTAAGACAAAAGAGAACTATCGTATGGTCGCACTTGAATCGAAGATGTGGAAAGAGGCAAATGTTGAGGAACAGGCTGGAGCAGAAGTGACAAAAGTCCCCCATGATATGCAACGCCGGGTTGAATTCCAAGACAGCGTTTTGATTTCATCACGCAACAGCATCAAGACTCAAAAGAATAATGCCAAGAACCAAGTCTACGATCGGATGGCGAAGCTGGAAACCAAAATCTGGATCAAAGGGGGTGAGAATGATGATGGGGATGCGGATGATAAAAGTGATAACGAAATGTCATCCATTGAAGTCAACCATTTTCAAACTCGAAGTGGGGAGACGAGAATTTAGAGTAAGAGTGCCTGTGCTATATCCTCCACTAGCACTGGGGCTCGACCTGGGCCAAGCTATGGCCGCGGACGAGACAATGGGTATAGTAGAGAAGCACACCAACTTGTGATTTTGAGCCAGCCTGAACAAGGAGACCCGGTTGCGTTCTGGTGAACCAATCAAACTGTCAGAATATGGGGATCCGGGCCATAATGATTAACTGAATGAAAGATTAAGCTGGCGATTTGATATTCTTGCGACATCCAACTTTTACTTCTTCTGAAACATAGATTGGATAATGAAATGCATATTTCTGAGTATATGATGACTTTATGTGCGAACAATTTGACTTGAGCTCAAGCAATATGATTGCGTATAACAGACATCTTTTTTTTCTCAGCTTGAAGCCTTTGAAGTGTGAATTGATTTGTGGTATATGATCAACTATATATGATTTACAATTTCATTTAACCTACCGAGTATATTGATCTATAGTTGTTCCAACGTCAAACGCGGCTTCGAGGGTCTTGTCATGCGTAGGAAACCAAAAAAGAAATGGAGCAAGCTAGATTGTATGAGATGATATTGGCTTGTGACAACTGGCAGATAGATAATTTATGATGACATATAATTGCATGATGAAAATGAAGAAAGTGTGTGCAATCATCACAGGTCTATAAGAGCTGATCTATGACGCTAATCACGTCTCAGATCTTCCTTAAAATTTTATTTAATTCCATTCTATGGTCTCAAGCTCCTACTTTCATGGGTATAGAAAGCCTAGCTTTTGATTTCCCATGTGAATTACGCTGGAGATCCAAATTGTTATGTGCAAGATAGTCATGTATTACGGCATTGATAGGAAAGTCTCACTCGACCTCATGTTGACACGATGTCCTTTTCATTTGAAATGGCAAGTGGCCGGTAGCGCCATAAACTACAAGTTAAAATCGACCGCTAGAACGGTGAGGTCATTCAAGAGGATTATGATGCACCTTTAGTAATAGTATCGGGGGAAAATTAGCTAGCTACTCGTCTATTCATCTCATTGCGATGCCATTGAACCTCTCTTGAAACACGGATTTCAGTCCTTACAAAATGCAACTCGAATATAATTGCTAGTTTCCATTGTGAGAAGAACCCCAAGAATTGAAAAGAATGGTTATCGCAATCACTATGGGGAGGATAAAATGCCCTTTTTGCGCCTTCAAAATTAGGCTCATCACGCCGCGATCACACCTCCGAGAAGACAAGGTATCAAAACATTTTGCTTCCTCAGGTGATAAATAAATGAGCCCTACAAACGAGAATTACTGTAGTTTCATGATGAGATTAGCGCTGATGAAACCCCAGGAAGGTCACCCCATAGCAACTAAGAGGCTTGGCACTAAAGTGGGGATCAGCGCACATAAGAAATGAGACGATATAACTTCCTTCGTATAGAATAGCTGGTATGGAAATGAAGCAGGCTGCTCCTTCAAAGAAGCTTGGTCGCAAAGCAATTGGCTTATCACATGATAGTCCAAAAGTCAGCGTGGTCAACGTTGTTGTGTTGCATTAGTTGATATTTTATAGGTAAACGAATCTCTCGATGAGTCTTCTGGCCAATGAGGGCTCAGTTGCTTATGTTGACTAGCCTTACGAATCTTTAAACTATTGCACTAATATAAACCCAAAGTTTCCTGATGAAGCTCCTCCTTTTCTTTGAGGTCCCCTTCCTTTTTGAAGTTGAGACTTTAACATTATTCGAGAGTTCCTTTGTTATGTCTAAAACAATGTCAGTAGAACAATAATTGAATTCCTGATAGACACAGAACAGGGACTGAATAAAGGTAAAACAAAGAAGACACTCGACTATAAGAAGCTGTCCTCAAAGCCTTTGTAAACTCCTTTATTCCCTATTCTTTTGCATTTGCAGTAATAAGCCATCAAAGAACTCTTCACTCTAACTAGATCCCAACCTATCTAGTTCCAGTCAAAGTATCCTAACCAGTAAGTTCTTTGTTCCTTTCCCAAAATGGACAAGATTAACACACCCGCTCGCCTCGCAGCGACAAACGACTACCCCGAAATGTTTCAAATTCTCTCCCCAGAAAAATACCTCGAGCGCGGTACCGCAGTTTTTAACGCTATACAAACAGCAATCAACGCCAACCCAGTCGTAGACGTTTCATATCCAGATTGGAATATCCGCTACGTAAATATCCATAGGTTTCACAATCAAGTGCTTCCATATCTCGCCGGATTCAACCTAGTTTTCTCAGATCCACAGTTGCAGATTGAAAGCGCAGGTGCCCATTGGTCCTCCTACACGTTCTTTTCTAGAGCAGCTATCGATGCTGCAGATGATCCGAATGATTTGATAGATTATGATAGTGTTGCACAAATGTTCGTTTCTCCGAAAACTGGAACTGCCATCATGTCATTCTCAAATGCAGCGGCTGATACTGACATCCCCGACGTCGATACACCGCGTTTGTATAACAGCGAACTCCTCTATCAAGGATGGCGCGATGCATGCAATGCGCAGTTGGCAAATGGTACCATGAATGAATCGCAACTCCGAAAACTCAAGTATATCATCTGCGGTCCCATTGTCAATCTTGGAACTCTTTGGACAATCCGCGATGTGCTTACCTCCCAGGAGGTTCCCGAATTTGCAGCAGGTCAGAAATCCAGGTTCACGGTTGATTCCTCGATGAGTCTCGAGCTCAAGATGTTGATAGGCACTGCTAATGGCAGAGCATTTGGCAGACTATGCGCGGACCATGCTGCGACATTGGGTAAGAAACAAATCGAGAAGATTCACATCTTCTATCCGTTTGAAGAAGCCAACGAAGGCACACTCGTGTTTGAACTGAATGAAGACTCTCCAGTCGAAATTCAGAGAAGACCAACCGCCCGTGAGAGAATCATCGCATTGGCTAAATCAAACACCACGGCAGCCACACCTCTTGCAAAAGCAGGTACAACCAAAGTCGGCCGAAAAGTCAGTGAAAGAGTGAAAGGCTTGATGAAGAAGTTCGAGAACTAAACTTCAAGAGACGAGACAAGAAAGCGCTGGCGCTAAGTTATCTCCAATTTCCTTTCTTTTTTCTACCTCCCTTAAGTACTAACAATCAATATATATCTTGATCGAAAGCACTGGTGCTCATCAAGCAATTAGAATTAGACATATTTGGAATTGAACCTCATTCTCATTGGCACATAACAAAATAATAAAATAAAAACAGAATATCTAGAAGAAAATTTGATAAGTGGTGACGATAAGAATGTGAAAACAAAACAAATGCAAAGAGGCAAGGCGGAAGCTGACCATGGGTATAAAGACTTCCAAACAATTATCAATCAAACTCCCCGATGGGGGATGACATTGATACCTTATGACCTCCTCCGTTTAACGTCTACAAAAAGCAAGTGACAAATTCGACCTGTTGGAAAGGAAACAAGTATTCTCCACCCGAAGTATATAAATTCCTCTCATGCTTTGCATCCAAGGAAAGTTGTTTTGCAAAGTGTGTAGTTCTGTTTCCTGCTAAGTGTTGAATTAATGAATTCACCAGCTAGTTAGCTAGCGTATCATCGGGCCGCTGATAAATCTACACCTCACTGATTATCAGATCGATTTTCGATCATTTTTACAACCGAATTGATAACATCTAATAGTACAATTCTTTATAGCCAGATTTATATTCTCAAATGATTGAATTTAAGCGTTATTATACCTAGTGACAGTGACATCTTCCATTTCACAAGATATTCAAGTACTCAGGATGAAATTGCTTCTAAACATTGGGAATTGTAATTGGCGCGGAGGCTCAGTTGGCTACACCACATAGTTTCAGAGGCTAGGAGGCTGATAGTTAGCTACTAAACATATGGTGATTTCTGTTTCCTTCGCATAATAACATATTCAGGCGGGGGGGGGGGGAGGGGGGAGGGAAGAATTGAATCGTTTCCATCTCAAAAGTCTGACTTTAATTTGTACGAAGACACCCGAGGCTGGAATAGCCGACCATTTGCTACGTGAGACTACCTAAGCGTCGTATAGTTAAAAGTAGTTCAATTTCCAGTCTCTCATTTGTTTATCTTTTTAGTACGGCATCATAAAATCGAAGAATAAAGAGAAGCTTTGAGAACTCTTCAATGCTTGTTCGGTTCCTTCGTGACCCTAGAAATCTTGCCGTATCGATTGTGGCCGTAGTATCAGAGAGAATCATATAAATTGACTTGAGTTTGAGCTCACAACATATTACACCAGAACCATCACAACTCATTAGTTTCTTAAAGCCGAGTTTCAATTCTTCACTTTCTTCTCCAGTAAAATCTGATCAACAACTGTATTACTTCTAAAACTTTCAATTACAATTTTTTCGAAATGGCAGACAGCAATATGCCCAGTGATAAGACGGAGCCGGCGGCATCACATTATTTAGAAAACGACAAGAACAGCGGCTCAGATGTGTCTAATGTAGCTCAGAAATCACCGCAGACCCCTCAGTCTGGCCCCAGCGAAACGGCAAAGCCAGCGGAAAATCGGCTAGCAGAGGAGATTTCACATCGTAAGCCATACCAAAAGCACAGGAATACACTTAGCATTGTCTAATCTAACACAATCAATGCAGATAGAAATGCCCTTTACTACGGACCCCCTGATCCAGATGCACGATTCTGGGGTATAATTGCCACCTCCCGTCGCAATCGCTCTGTTAACAGAGTAAGCCAAAAACTTCAATGGTCCAAATTCGCGAGGAATCAAAAGGCTAAATTAGAGAACTTATTTGCAGACAACCAAATAAGAGAGCCCAAAGTATTGAGCGATGTGAGCTCGCGAGATGAAGTCGGTAAGGTTAGCTTTGAAGCCGAGCCGGTACATCTTCCAGAGTCTGACATCACACCAACTCCTTCTCGTCACAATACGGTCACAATTGTGGAGGTGTACGAGCTTTTATTTGTCAGCTGTGCGAAGCTTCTTGCAAGATTTCGTGGAACACACACAAAGAAGAGACCTATTTAATTCAGTTAGTGACTGCTGTCTTACAGAATGGAGGGAAGTCATCTCGTGGTGGGGATAGCTACAGATATTTTTCCAATGAGGGGCTTACATGGGGGATTGGAATATCTGTGGACATCAAATCCGTATGCAGCACATATTTATAGTCTCTTTACATTTCAATTCCCTGTGTCTAAGATATCAATGATCATATAAGTTATGCCCCTTTTCAATCCAATTCAACATGAAGATCCTTCATAGCCTTTGTTATGCTGAGTGTAATAATACCTGTGATTACATAAAATTCATTTTTCGTGTTATAACGGTAGCCTTAAACTCAATCCGATGCCAAATTCAGAAAACATGTATGTAAACTACTGGTAGGTCAAGAGAAATGGATTAGTAAACGCCTGCTCCAATTGGTATTTGACCTATGTTTATGTCCATTTGACAATCTTGTAGCCTGCCTATCCATCATGACAGTCAATATTTGAGAATTCTTGTGGAGACTCATAGTCACTATGAAATTTCTAGAGAGATTGTATCAATACCCGAGACTCAATAAGATGGCATTCATAACATGACTTCGCCTACAGTCCTCGTTGGAAAGATAGAGACATAGATGGATGATACCTGGAGAGATGGGGATGAGTAGCATTCTTATCGGCTGTCAGGATACCATTTTGAACAGGAATCGTTCTCAAAGTATCTATGGCTCTGTTCGATGCAGAAAGATGATTCGAGAGTGCTTTTTTTGAATGATTCATTGGTATAACAGTGACGAAATAGAAATGCACTACAATTGTAACCACATCTATGGACTATGCATGTGAAGATAGCGAGTAACAGGGGCCTTTCTAACATAACTAGTTCACTCTGATAGAACAATTTGCATTGTAAAAGGGCAGATGCCAGGTCTCGTATCCTTGGAGGGCGCAGATCTCTATACACATAATATCAATCAACCGGTATCCTTCTAACAATATTCTATTGTGAAATTTCTGTTCATCTAATCTCACTACTCAGTTTCTACTTGAGATAACTCAAATTGGAGGTGACCATATAACATTTAAACCCCCTGTTGAAATCAGTCTGCTCTCCGCCTCAAAGCTTGAGCCGTGTTGTACCATCTGCCCATATTTTTGCAAAGCACATAACTTCCATATGGAAAAACCGTAATATATATAAATCGAAGACTATTAACAAACATGAGATGACATGATCATCACTACGATGTTCTGATCTTGTTCGATCGCGTTCGTGAACTCGCGCACATAACCGTGACCGCATTGGCAGACACCAGGTAGATATATAACGATGAGAAACTCCCTCCTCCTATCTGTTTTCATTACAAAACTTTCATATGTACATTTTTCCGCTGATGAACTATCATCGATTAAGCATCATTGAAATCACCACTTGATAACCTCTCCACATTTCAAAGAATCTCTTCAAAACCTCATCAAGAAAATATTAGCAATCATGAAGACACAGAGTTTCTCCACCCCAAGTCCTGTTACTTCTCCAGAGATCGCTCAGCGCAGGGAAATTTCGCAAAATGGCCCACCAAAGACCCCTCCGAATACACGCATGCTATCTCCACCGGGAGCTCCACGTCAATCCCGATTCGTTCGTCCAGAAGTAACTCCGCAATCAAACGGAGCATTTAGAAGTCCGTACAACTTTAGAGATAGATCGAATTGTAGAAGTCATAGTCCAACACCATGACGGAGGCAGAATAGTAGAGATGCCCGCTCTCGTTCACCTCCAAGAGATCATGCGCCTGGATACCGGGACCGATCCCTAGTAAATGACCGTCTGTTTGGCGGACGAGCGACTCAAGAATCATTTTTGGGTCCTTTCTTGGTCGAATCCATTGAACAAGACACAGTCATAGATAACGCACAGCCTCCCAGCTCATACGGTATGAAAGAGCGATTTCGGAGTATGCTGTCCCTCGCAGAAATTGAGCGTAAGGAGCGAGCTTCTAGAAATAAATCGTTCAGACTCCCGAGCGACGAGACTACTCAGAAGGAATCCAAAAGAATATGATTCAAGTAGCTTCGAAAAGTCATCCAAGGATTCACGTGATGAGGAGCGTAGAGTCTGGTCGAAGAAGTCCTCAAACCAGTCAAACTGTGAATAACTGGGGTGATACAAGTCTTTCATGATAGATCTGTTTGAGTTGAAGACCAGTATCTGGTAATGAAATATAAGGAGACCGAACATATCTTGCTCCGAGCAACAGGCACAGCAATGCTGAATAATAGGAAAATCGCAATCATTTCGAGCATTCTGTTCACTTCTTTTGATTGTGAAACACTGATATGTGGAAGCATGAGTGCATATGGTATTCAGAAAGACACTGAGTTTATTTTGGCTTGGGGTGGTGATGGATAGAAGAATTGGCGTGTCTTGATTTCTTTTATATGAGTATCTTATGGTATTGCGCTGTAGGGCGAGGCGGAACTGTAAGGATCCGCTAGTATCCTCTATGATATTGGTAGAATGTCAGTTTTAAGAATGATTTTTCCAAGGAAGCAGTAGAGTGAGATTCAATGCTGTTGATCTGACGCGGTAGGATGGTGGCCGTCCCTCAATACTCCAAAGGAATATACCCATGTGGAATTACAGTATAGGCGGTAGATATTTCACACTGAACACCCGATCAAACCTGTCAATCCAAAAATATGAATTCTAGGTATGCATTGAACTTCTGAATATGTGACAATGAACTGAGCTCACGTTCAAGAATTACTCACAAGGTTTTATGGCATCGAATGGGGCATTCTGAAGGAACGGTGATATAAGAAACCTATAAATACCTCTGTTGTGCAGTATCTTTCCTCACAAGTATCCTGATTCCAAAGACTGTGCAAATTTTGAATGAATGTGTATCCGAGAAACTTATCTAGATCGTCCTCCAAGTCATCGACATTAGAAATATGCAATAATGCGCGGCTATCTTCCGATAAGGTGAAGTTGATCTGAAGCGAAAGATCGAGAGCGGCTATCACCTTCACGCCATGAAATTCACTCACTCGATTCACTCAAATTTCACCAAAAGACCAGAATCATGTTTCCAAAAATAGTTGACTCAAAACAAGGATAGAAAATGCCATTCATACGGTCTTCATCGAAGTTATTTATACCATGTCAGTCTCCTTCAGCTACAAAAGCACATGAACACTCTGCCGACTTCCTACGAAAAGAATAATCTTCCCACTCACAAAGATTTCGCAACGGTTCCTCGTTGCCCTTCGATCTGATCCTTTCAGAACCCAAGGAATCAGCTTTTAAGCACCATCACTCTATAACAAAGGGCATCAGATCACTCCAATGGAGCTACCAAGACACGATTCGAGAAGTCTTTCCAATCAAAAGGATTTACCTTCAGAAAAAATGCACCAAAGCGGGTCAGGTTCTAGGAATATTTCCGGTCAACAAGACGCAAATTCTCCTGAAGACGATGTGATTATGTCTGATGAGAACTGGAGCCATGTAACTGAGAGTGAAGATACATATATGGGCGATGACTATTACACAGATGGGACTCACACCGGCGACACTACAATCTATCGTCCATCTTCAGGCCTTGCGCTCCAGGAATCAGCTCCTGTGAAAAGCTTCGCTCCAGCTCAGGCCCCCCAAAAACGATACGTACCAGCTCCACGGCGTTATAGAGGAGTTCTTGATCCATACGAGGGCGCAGAAGATGCCGCATTTTTTGCCCACGCAAATACACGGTATCAGCAGGGAATACGGGAGGCACTGCGTAAAAGTGAGGAGAAATCTAAAGAGGAGACTTCTAGGTCTGCGAGGAAGGAAAATACCGCTTTGGCCGCAGGAACGAATGCAGCGGCTGCTGCTACTGTTGGGGAGAAAATCAATTTTATCGATCTCTTGTGGGGTGATGCTTAGGGAAAGCTTGGGTATGAGGTTCTATAGAAGTCTTGAGTGGTCGAGTCGTTGAGATGGAGATAACCATCCTTGGTGGTTACTGTGTCTGTTAAGTGGGATGTTCCGCAACTCTCACCTCGTAGGAGTCACAATTGGTGCAATAAAACTGAACAATTACGATCTTGGTCCGCGCTCTTGCAAGTAGCTTCGCAAAATACTGTATATTGGAGGATGAGTCACTTCTACATGTCAGCCTGGGCTATTCATCTAATTCATCCTTTGCCAAGAGCATCAGAATGCGTGATTGAGAGTAGTTGTTTTTTTATAGTCAAATTCAAATTGTTAATTTTCATGACTTCGATGACTTTGGGTGTAAGAATTAGGGTTATTCATAGTGGGAAGTTCTGTAACATCGTTTTTAATGATTCTTGTCTAACTATTTTATCATAATGTAACTTTTTGCTTTTGCTCTTTGCCTTTGTATTTCGTAGTAGAGTGAGCATCACCCAAAAATTCCTTGGCTATTTTGATTTTGATAGAGTAAATTTTTTCCATTTTCCCCCTAGCAATCAATAAGAGACAGTTCTCATGTTATTACGGCTTGATTGTTTTCCTTTGGTCCCCCTGAATAACCTAGCTATGCTGGAGTGAAACCCGAGCCTAAGAACGTCGACACCAAAAGAAGAAACAAGCGCATCAAAGAACTCTACGCTATTATTTTCGGAGACATCAAGCTGAAATCCAAACTTCAGAAGCCCAGCAGCATATTCCCATTCATCAATTGCGACCCGGAGAATATCAAACATTTGAGCGAGAATCATAGGGAGTGCTATAAATTGATCAGCGATTGTGAGTAGCCATTAATCATATTAAATTCTTCCAACTTCAATCTGCACGCTACAAATCATCATTGACGAGATTAAAGCTAACCAAATCTTCCACTTGCTCGAAATATAGGGTTTCAGCCAATCCAAAATTTACGAGATAATCTCGAATGGGAGGAGATCTTTGACCACCGCAAATCTCACTTTTCAAATTAAATAACTCAAAGCTTGGGAGGAATTCAAGCAAAATATGCCAGATTCTTCCATGTAATTGCCACGATGAACGAAGTGAAGGAAACTGCCGCGGCTGCTGCGACTGAAGGTATTACTTTTGAAGAATTCACTAATAGAGCTGCTGTCGTTGGGTTGCACAACGAAGCTGATGAATGCGAAACTATGGCTGCCGAACTCATTGCTGCTGGGGCTCAGTTGCGTGTTCTCGCATCTCGGTATGGAGGTTAATACAGATATCAAGTAAGTTTGATATACTTCAGTTCTACAGTGTTGAACTGACTGGCAACCTAGCTTTCAATGATATAGACAACGGATCTTCCAGCACAAATAGGGATAGGACAAAATAATACTGGTAATCGTCAGTATCAAGCTTAAAGTTGATATGTTGTGTGATAGCAGGATCAAAGTGCCCATGGAGGATGATTCAATGCACCTTGTCTATCTCGATGGGCTGGATAAATCTTACTACGACTCCTATTACGTTGTCCCTTGACGTTCAATAATTTTGGCCAGGACTCAATGTAATATTGTCAAGTTGTTTCTGGGGTTGCCATGGCGTTTAGTTTAAAGCATCACGAGTAGTTTAGTTCGCAAACAATCATCAAATCAGTTAACTTATGGTTCTGACTCTAGAATATGCTTTTCAATGACTACTGAATGTATTGAATACTTCCCAAGTTTCATCTTGATAAAATCTGTGAGTGAATCTCGATTATGCAAGTCTAAATGCGATTGTTCCTGTGATACAATACTTCCCACCATGTAAATAAAATATACTAGACTCATCTCCTACATTTCGCACAATACCGAGTATTGAAATCATTTCGCTAGCAAACAGCTAGACATAATTTCATGACAGGTCCAATTTAATTGGTTCACTAGCCGACCCCTGAATGCCAAAGCAGGCTTTACACCCCACCTCCACCCTACAAGGAACTCATCCATCTAGATCACCAAGCAAACAAGATCAATTTTACCAGAAGACAATAACACAATGGCAAGAGTCAGAGCAAAAACTACAATGAAGCGCACCCCATTACCTGATCAAAGAATGGCCACTACCAAGGAACCCACCATCAAATCTTCCAACTCCAAGTCCACCGCCGAACCTCGCAAATTCAAAATGAGCGCTGCTTCTCGAAGAATCTTCTCTATCAGTCAACAAACAGTTGTTAGCAGACTCAAGGCACAGGTAAAGAAAGACAGCAACAAGAAATCCACGTCCACTCGTACGACCGTCGAATCTCTTGGAAAGAAATCCCAAAAAGGTCGCGAGCATCCTTGGCTTGAGCTTCCCAAGCCCGAAGATCTCCTATATCAAGATGAGAAGAATGTGGAATACTATACTCATTACTACAACTGTAAGTATCAAATGATCTCTTGTCATGTTATCCTCTTTCCTAATCATGTCAGAGCTACTTGGCGACACTCGATCGGGAGAAACTTACTAAATACAAATTATTCTCATGTAGATTACGCACCTCTTCAAGACTTAAAGAAGAAGGAGAACATGACATGGAACGCTATTCTAGCTATTCACGCAGAGCATTTCCCCGGCAGAAAAGTCCCCCCGAGCACAAATGCGCTTTCCGACCGCGCCTGTACTTACTATCACAAATTATGTGTAATCTTGGAGGCTGAGAAAGAGGCCGTTGCTTTAGCAGAAGATACTGAAAATCCTGAATTTGTCTTTCCCGACGAAGAGGATGACGAAGATGAAGATGATGAACACAATGAAAGGGCTCTAGAGGGCCAGGCCAAGTGAAGGACAAGAGGAGAATAATAAAAGCGCACTACGAAGTATTTCACATATTCCTCCACTGTTTAGACTGTCAACTAACCTTTCAAATCAGTACGTAAACTCCGCGAAGACAAAGTCACCCATCGATAATCGGATAGTACGACGCAGACAACTCTGGTAGTTGTTCGCCGCGGGGTTTCGCTTGATGGCGTAGTACGAAGGAGGTACGACAACGGTACAATGGTTCATTTCGATTTTTTTTTATCAACATGGAGCATACGGTATCTAGGTTACAGTTAGCTACCTACTAGTTAATGATGACGAGATAATTCATGATGATGCTCTGGGGCACATCAATCTAGGAATATGATGAATGAATGACCTATTACAATATCATCATTGTCCTCTGAGATCACTATGGATTCTTTTGTCTCGAATATGATGTTTATCAGAACTTTCTGGAAATACCAGACTCATCTCTCCAATCGCCCATTCTTTCTCATACAAAACAAGGAAGCGTTACGACTTGTCCACACCCGCACTTAGATATCAACTCAAACCAAACCAATATTTGAGACCTTTGATTATTATCAAACACCGGGAGGTTGAAAAAGTCGTTTGAGAATATTATCATTGCTATGCATATTTTTCCCGAAACAAAATTTAAGTTTCCGTTCAATGTGAGACCTCCAAGATGTAGTTCATCAAGGCATCTCACGCCTGGACTATAATACTGAACTATGAGTATCCTGTGAATCATGCGCATCCTCCATTCCCTTACTCTCATTTATCCGCAAACCTTTTTTGCCTTTGTCTACTCCCTGGGAACCATGCTCCAACTTTTTCAACTCAGTTCTTCGCAATCACATTGATCAATTATCTTTCCTAAACCACATCTACTTTCGTGACTTCCCCTCATGAAGTCTAGAGTCCCTGCCGTTTAAAGAGTGTCAGATGTGACAATTTCACTTACTGACGTACCATCCGTAGAGTGCTCTTCGCATGTATGGTCGACTAGAAGGTTATAAGTCATTGTATCACAAGTCCATTCAGAGATGAACTCACAAAATCCACGTTGAAACCCTCTCAATTTTTTGGCTCTACCATAAATGTTTGCGGTTTCATCCGAAGCAAAGAAGCAACGCTGTTTTTTGAATCCAATCAATGTAAAGCATGCATCCAATTCTTGTTCCGTCGATAAGATTAAATCTCGATCTTGATCCGTGGAAATATTCAAATATTTCTCTTTGGAGGGCTGGCTCAATTCTACCAATGTAAGACATGCCGCCATCATTTCCTCTTCGAATGTATTCAAAAAGAATACAGTACCGTAATGATTGAATGTTTCGAAATTCTTTGCAGATGCAACACCATTTTGACTCTGTGACTGATCATCTAGAATTCGTCCAACTCTCAATTCATTTACGCCCCACCTCAGACTATTCTGAGTAAAGGCGTTGTACCCATCGAGCACCGACTCACGCCACGCTATCATTGAGTCGAAACAGATGAACTGCGTTTTCTGCAAGCGAGGGACATTCGGTTGATGTCCCATAAAGCTTTCATAATCCTCAAAGCTAGGATGTGTTGCAGGCGAGTGACGATGTACTGCAGGTAGGGCTCGCTGCGTTGTGTTCGAAGAACGCCCACGCTCACGTTTAGAATCAATGGGTTCCAGTCCGAATTTTGGTGGATGGGAGTCGATCGTTTTTCTTCCATTCTTTATTAGAATAGTCAGTTACATCCTCTTTTTCAAAAAGATGAATGGTCACTTACACTCTGGGCATTTTTCTTTACTTCCAACTCTGTGGATTTCACTGAAGTATCCAGCCCATCCGAAACAAGTTTTGTGGTACGATTTTTCTAGGAAATAGGTGTCGGCATGTTGACTCAAAGTATCGCGAGTCTGTGTACCTTTTTACTGGCAGCTTTCTTTCCCGTCACAGCTCCCCAAAATTCATCTTGGGAATCAACTTTCTCTGGCGATTCAGTCGTGGAATAAGGCCTGGGAAAGTTATAAACAAATCAGACTCTGTCTTGGACTAAGGAGAAACTGATGTCCGATGAAATTAATCAAGGCTTACATTCTGATTCAAGCACTTTGCCTGACTCTATAGTCTTGAGATTGATAGGGCTGCTATCTTTAGTCTGTGACAGAGGAATTGATAACTGTAATTGAAACAATGGAAGAATGTTTTTATCAATGCTAACTCGATGAAATCGGCGTCGAGAAAGAGAAGTGTTTCATGGGGAGAGGTTCTCGTGTAGAAAAATTGATATGGTTATGCTCTATTGACTGTCGAAAGAAAGAACATTCCAAGTGAAGCGTTACTTCCTCCTTTCACTTCAGCCATAGTCACAATTAACCCAGCATCCCTTCGAAGGCAAAACTTATCGACAGATATCTACAAACGAGCAACCGTTCGTGTCAATAATGAAAAAGATCATATTCTCAAGGTACAGACGTGGCATCAGACTTTGAATTTACTAAACTTCCATTGCGCACTGTTTCATCATTTCTTCACCTTCATGACATCTTTCTTGCTCTCGTTAGCACTCCAGTGCAACCACCACTCCACGGCCACCATATGCAGTACCATTGCCAGCCAACCTGAAGTTCCAAATACCATAATGATTGTCATCGTCATACGTTCTGGCGGGTAGTATCCAAGTCGAACTGGAATGTGTACTTCATGTGTTGATAGCCCCAACAATGTATTCTCACATGCAGGATAGTTTTGTGAAATAAGCTCAAGGGGGTGCGAGTGAGTGGTATATAATTCATGGAGAATGGAACATGTGGTGACGGAATAAAAATCGCGGGTGTGTGGCGAAAGAATAAATCGGGCAAGGAAGAACATGAACACGCGCATAGTGAAGATCTGAAGAGTTTTTAGTTTCTGACAATAAGAATGATAAAAGATATGAGCTCGATTAAATCTTGGGCCATAATTGAGAACGAACGCAGAGAGGAGGGAATAAATGTTTCGACTTACACAACCTGTCCACCCCCAAGTCCTGATAGCCCAAACTCGATGCTCTGCAACTCTTTTCTGTCTAATTGCAACCCAGGATTTAATTAATGCAAAAAATACCGTGACACCAAGTGTATAAACCCAGATTCTAGTTTCGAGAGTCCCTCCGAATGAATTATGAGCAATCCCAAAAGCACCTTCTCGTGTGATTAGCAGAAGTAGAAAAGGAGGGTAAGGGTATCATCAACATGTGTTGCCAATAAGTAGCATCAAGAACAAAGCTCTTCCTAAATATTTATGTAGATCCATATACTTCCTCCTTACTATCGGAAGAAACTGAAGCGGAAGAAGGGTTCCAGCAGCTAGATTCGGTGTTAGCTGCGATCACTTTGATCTCGGAGTTGCTTCTGCAATGTTTGTAGCGATATTATGCATTGCATTGTACACCTCAAGCCTCACACACTATATATCCGCATCATGAAAGAAAGAAATGTTGTTAATCAGGCATACGTAAAACGCTCCACAGATGAACTTCCTTCCCCAACCTCATCAACTGTTCTCTGAAGTCTATGAACTCGAGTGAAAATCTAGGACGTAACCTCCCTCCAAGGACAAAAGATTGCTGCGAAAAAGAGAAAATCGAGAATGTGACGGTAAAAAGAAGAAAGTAGATGAGAGACTTTGAATACGTGAAGCCAGTGAGTTTCGGAAGAGACATTTTGTTGGGGATGTTGAGGTGAGCTAGTGATGTACCAGTCTGATAATAATTGAGAAACTTTTTGAGTGGAAGTTCTGAACTGCAAAGTACAATAGCGACCGTGTCGAATAAACAAGGAGTGATAGCTGGCGTGAATATTATCTTATATAAACCAATATGTCCATCGTCGACACGTACAGTTTCACCGGAGTACAGAGAGACGTATCTTTTAGCTCGAGGAATTAAGAAGTGGCCCGTGCATTTACACATCTCAGTCACAATTTCGAAATGATATAAGAACGAGCAACTATCATCCTTCGTCTTGTACTTCTCAATGGTGTGTGTTAGATTGAGGACTTCTGTTCTTGAGAATCTTGCTTGCCATCAAACTTAGTCGATATTATCTTACTTGATATACGCCTGGTCCAGAGGCAAGACCCTTGGTGACAGGAATAGTCGCGAGCTCTGGGGGACAATGCAGATGGCAGTTATGATTGAGGTGCATGAGTGTAGATTGAACACCCTTTGCAGAGATATCTAGATACCAGCAAGTTTTTGCGTTGAGATTGATTGATTGATTCGGTTTCACGTGATCTACACGTGACAAGAGTGCTAGCGCATATGAAAACCTCACAGTCCTTGAGCGATTTTCTTGGCTCCATCAAAAATCGTCTAAGCCGCACGCAAGTGTAATGTGTACGTACGGGAAAGAAATTTCCAACTCGCGTGCACCTTCAAATTTGAGGATGGAAATGCAACAGTAAGGTTACAAGAGTTGCTCTGCCCAAGCCCATCAGAAGATTCCGGATAAGCTTTTCATGCCTCTCGGAAACTCGGAAGTCACGTCAATTCTCATCGTCATTCGACTGTTCGGTAATTGATATTCCATGGCAGGTACTTCGTACACATTTAAAAAAAAAAAACTATATTTGGCACGTTGTAATGGAGCAACAACAAGCCAGGTTCTGATGCACAAACCAACACATGTTTTCTTTGTTGGCTTCGTATATCTTCAATCCACTTCCCCTTATAGATTCTCCCTAAGGAAGCACCTTGTTCCGCTTAGTTTCCCGAGATTGGTTATCCAAGCCGAAGAGGACGCGAATCTTGGTGGTTGTCGGAAATTAAGGAGATTGAACGATACGAGCGGAGAGATCGGATGAACCGTTGAAACTTCTAACCCACATTGTTCATTGATCACGACTATACAACTCGGCAACTTCAATTGCTACGAAGCACTGAAGATATGTTCGAATTGTAACTAATAATGTGATTGAACTCTCCTTCAAAGTCTGAATCGATTTTGATAGTCAATACCGAAGGCGACATGGAAAGATTGGGCTTGTTGTGGACCATATATCTATCTATTTATGGATCATCATATTGCAAGGTTACTCCATAACTTTAAGAATTAATCGTATATCCACCAGCTCCACCAAACAAAGTATACACGATGTCAACGATGGCCTGTCCAAGTGGGTTAGTGCCATAAATTTTCTTATTTCTATTTGGCATTCCCATGTTCATTTTTATCGTTCCCTCTATACCTTTTTTCTCCTTCCAACTTATCTTGTCTGTCGTTTCCAGTCGAATATTGCAACTAAAAACAACTACTTTCGTTAACATAATCCGGCATTCCTTGCCAAAATGAGGACTACTGTTTCTTCCATTATCAACTTGGGTTTCTTAACTCTGGTTGCCGCTCAAAGCTCGAGTTCCAGTGCTACATCGTGTGTCTCCTCTTACCAATTGTGTTTGGACGAGGGCGGAGCCGACAACACATGCCAATCTAATAACGCAAAGTGCAAAAACGTATGTGCCGATAGCTATGGCTCGTGTCTTTCGTCGTCAAATACATCATCATGCATGAGTACCTACAATCTTTGCTTGAACGACTTCACCATATTCACCACACCAGAGGATTCGGCCGGGAAGGACTGTGCATCTCTTTTTTCGGCTTGCCACGACTCGGGAGAGGCAGATAATACCTGCAACAGCTATGCAGCTCAGTGTAGGGTTCCTTCACATGATAAGATTGTTGTTGGAATGGACGACTAACAAAACCAGGCAAGGACAAATGTAGCACGATTTATGCCACAGCCCTCACTAGTGGATCTTCAGACTCGTCGGCAGCCAGCACGCAATACAATAATTGTCTTGATTCTTTCAGTGTCTTCTCTACTAGAGAATCTTCATCTAATCTCGATTGGTAAGTGATATCAAATCAGACATCATGAATTTCTTTTCGCTTCTTCGTTCCCCAATTCCGACTTGGTGATTATGTTCTACCTTGCTTGTTACGCTCCAGTACCTTGCAGCGCAACTTATGCCCCTTGTTCCCCCAGAAATTTTGCTATATGAAAAAAATACTAATTTCTCCATCTTATAGTGTCTCCCAATTCTCGGCCTGCAGAGCCAATGGCACCGCCGATAACACATGTAATTCTTACACAGCACAATGTAAAGTGAGTACCATCATTTCTTTCACGTGAGCGATGTCTACTGCGAACTCCCTTTCTTTCTCAATGTTGTGTATCCACGACGAGCTCAAAACTCTCATTTCAATCCACTTCTTATCGTTCCCCCCACCTTCATCTTTTTCCTGTCCTTTCATGTTGTTGTTTAGAAATCTCATTTGAAGATTCAAATCACGTGTGGACGTGAAGGGTACCGGTTATCGCGGAAAATCATGTGGCACAGGCAGTTGTCCTCCTCACACCCCTCATCCCTTCTATTCTGTAGCCAAAGCTCCTTCTATTATCGTTGCGAGAACCTATTAGAGCTAAGCAGTTCTATAACCTTTTCACTCAACCCGACCACACCCTTGTTGAGATTCGACGTTTTTTAAGACCAATGACTAACTCGACGTTTGAATAGGACAAGTGCAGTGGGATCTATGGAATCTGCCTTAGCAGTGGAAGCGCTGATGATTCGTTATGCATGAATCAGTATAATAACTGCTTAGACTCCTTCACGCCTTCAACTGCCCTGGATTGCGTCAGCAGTTTCACATGTAAGCTCAATTATTGATTGCTTCCATGATAGTCACCTATACCCAGCCGCACAAATTTTCCGGATAGGCAATTACTAACTCCAAATCTTTACAGCATGTCGAAATGCAGGTGGCGAATCCAACACATGCGCCTCCGAATCAGCAACTTGCAAGAACGACGCAAGCATCAACTACTCCACATGTCTTTCCAGCGGTCAAGCTGATGAATCAGCATGCTTGAAACAATACGATTCAGCTCTCGTCCAATTCAACACCACCACCTTGGTGAAAAATACAGACTGTGTTTCCAGATTCACCGAATGTGAAAATAAGGGAAATGAAGACAGCTTATGTCAAAGCAATAACGCCGATTGCAAGGTTCGTAAAGTTCCTTAACCTTTGCTCTCTGAAAATTCCTTTCTATTCTTCGACATCAGCCGAGGCTATTACTGACACCAAAATCTTAATGCAGACCGATTGTTCCACATCATATTCCACTTGTCTCAGTTCGGGTGACCCAGCTCTTTACGCTCCTTGCTTGGAACAGTACAACTTCTGTCTTGTGACTTTTGCCTGGGAAACCGCCACTCCCACTACTGGGCAGGATTGTGTTTCCAAGTATATGTCATCTACCGGAGAAGACAATGCTCGCAATGCTGAGGCAGCCCAATGCAAATCGTAAGTATCAAACTTTATGGTAATCTTAAGCCACTGGTCACTGACTCTCCGGTTCTTAGTGCGTGCTCTACAAGTTTTTCAACCTGTCTGAGCTCCGGTGACGAATCCCTCGAAGCGCCATGTCTCATGCAATATAACTCGTGCCTAGTCAACTTCAATTCCACCATCGCGACTCCCGATTGTGCTACTAGTCTCCTTTCTTGCGACGATGCTTCAAACTCCTGCGCTGCAAATGCAGCCAGTTGCAAAAACACGTGCTCCGTGGCTCTCGATATCTGTCAAAGTTCTGGAGATCCAGCCCTCACTGCAGGTTGTCAGAAACAATACCAGTCTTGTCTTGTTTCCTTCACATCCGCTACTGCTGCCATCGGAGAGGATTGTGTGGCTTCATTCACTGAATGTAGAAACAACGGAGGGGCTGACAATACTTGTTCTTCGGTAAGAAAAAGTCTCGTGAGAAATCTTGATTGCGAAACACCACTAACATCATCACAGGAAATGGCCAGTTGCAAGAACAAGTGCAGCTCCGTATACGATATCACCGGTACTTCCGCCGACAACTCAACTGTTACTGCATCCCAAGCCCTTCGACTCTATGACTCCTGTCTTGTATCTTTCTCCTCTAACGAGACCACTCCTACTGGTCAAGATTGCTCTTCCAAATACTACGCCTGTTCCCTCGCTGGTCTCGAAGCTCCAAACGCCTGCAATTCCGACTACGCAACCTGCAAAAATGACTGCGCCGTTATTCTCGACACGTGCCGTAGTTCCGGAGACGAATCACTCGTGAGCATGTGCGATAGTTTGTACAACGGTTGTTTGGATCCTGTTATGAGTAGCAACATCACCACGAACGCGACGGTTGCTATTAATGCTACAGCAACTTATGTCTTGCCTACCAAATCCGCTTTCTTCAATTTGACCGGCGCATACTCAACAATTGTTAGTAAAGCGAGCACTTCGACTGCGAGTGCATTTATTAGCGGGGCTCCATCGAGTGCCACAAACGGTACTGGACATTACACCCAAGCTACATTAGCATCCACTGCTGCAATCTCGACCGGTGTCAGTTCTGGATTTTCTCTTCCAGTAGCTACTATTTCGGTCAGCTATCCATTGAGCAATGCCACCTCTACATCAAACATCATTGTTTCCGCAAGCACCACTTCTGAGTCCGCTATCACGATTGAGACTGGAAAATCGAGTGCAGTAGACAGAGCGGTTGATGGGAACACCAGCGATGAAAGCGCTGATGATGATACATGCGAGACTTAAATCCATAGGGTGATATTCGCTATGGCATGTGTAATATATTATGAAGGCTATAAAATAGCGGGATGATAAAATTGTTGATTTAAGTGGGGGGTCTTTTATGTCGTAGTTCGAAGAAGGTTAATGATAATTTTTGATTACACCTACTGAAGTGATTTTTCTTCTTCGTTGCTGTGAAAGTGCGTGTTACGAATTACTCCTGATATGATTTATGTAATCAATGACGTGGAAGAGGGAAGACCGAAGGTCTGGAAAATAAACAATTACAATTCATAGACTTCGTATCAAGAAGCAAGCGATGCTCCCCAATTAAGGAAAAAGCAGTCAACATCAGTCCAAAATACAGATTCGCTAGCATCCGAGATCAACTCGACGCTAGTAAGACAAAGTTGTGTAATGAATCATAACTGCAGAAATGGAAAGGGGTCAGCCGGGTATAAACATCCCAGAATACCTAGGAGCTCAATCCCTTCTCCGCATAATCATAACTCGGAAATGTTAAGAATTGCTCAGAAGCGTTGAACTCGAATGGACAGCTCAATGTGAACTTGGGACGGGCAAGGGGCCGCGTTGCTTGGAAGCGAAATCTAGATGCCAAGCTTGAGGGAATTCAAGAGAACCCCATATCCTTCTTCATGGGATTATAACAACAGCATATCATATGAATTCAAATCTTCGTTTTTGCCATAGCAGCATCTACAATACATGAGCTTGGCTATAAGGATTGCTATCAGAAGGATTTGACGTATCCCTCGAATGCACGTGTAAAATGAGTATATTTCTGGGTGTTTAAGAGCTCGAATCGAGAACGACCGTTGGTAAACATTGCAACCAAACAAGCATCCACATTCTGTCTTTGGAAGTACTGATTACGCGAAGATAGCGGCAACTTGTTCTGATTGTTAGGTTTGGAATAGTAATTGCGCTTGTCAGGATACATCCTGTAAGCTGAATTTATAGATATGCAACAAAGTCATAGAATCAAACTTCATTGGCCCTGAGAGGGAAATGACTGGCCATGGTAAACATATCTGTTGAGGTTGAGAAGGAACAATGAAATCCGACTAGTAGATTTAGTTCAGATTGGTGAGGTTTGTGGGCATTAGGCCCGTAAATCGAATGTGTATACTTGGTATTGCTGTAAGGATATCTCAAGAGCTGGGCTTAGCAGAAGTGGAATTCGACAAAACGGGGCAATCTAGGACAACTTTCGGCATTCAGGTGGTTGAGCATTCTCATTCGATGCTAGGCAATTTGAGATTCGTTTACCCAGAGGAACCGACTTGACAAACGTTCAATGCGTATCTCATCAGACAGAACCCCATTATCTAGCTGATCATATCTTTCGCGTTGTGGCTTTGATGCTGATTAGTGGTATAAAGTATGGATAGCCAGGGTCCCAGTATCACTCAAGAGATTCCGATTTGATTCGACAAAGCAATCTAGAAGGACAAGGTTTTCTTGTGTAGAGGACATAAATTGGCATCGACCATGATTCTGCTCGGGTATATAATTGGACGAAGCAAAAGACAAAGGTGGCGTTCCGTTTCTGGCATTGTTAGCGAGAATCTCAAGCGCGTGAATTCTTTGAAGGTTGGAGAAAGAAATAGAGGTCTTTGATCTCGAACTCTTCTCGGCTGGTTCATATGCGAGTTTTTCAGCATTCATCATTAACTCCAATTATTCGTCTACCGGAATCAAATTCAAGGGAATAGCACACCCACAATTTCCAAAGCAAAAGACAGTCCCCCAATTTTCAGACATCAACATGTTGGCGTTACCTCAATATAGGGGCCAATCAAACCCGGATAAATATCTCACAAAGTTAGTTCAGGTTATCTAGAAATCTTATTTCCCTTCTGTTGTGTATCATTCCAAATACAAAAATTGGCATGCAAAATGAACTAACTCATCGTAAAAGACCCAAAAATATGTCGCCTTCAGATGTCCGCCAGTATCTGGAGAGCCTCCTTGTTCAAAACCACCAGTGTGATGTTAAGGACGCGAATGATATCGCGTCTTATTGGGTGTATGGCCGGGGATCAGAATTTTATCAGTATGATTTAGATACCTTTAAAGATATGTTTGGGGATGAAATAGGGATGTTGTTCTTCTTGTATTCGAGGGGTCTTACACCAGGTGGAAAGTTAAAAGGACGATTTTGGAGAACATTGTTTATTTGTTTCGCCTATTTCTATGCTCTGTTCTTTTTATGGGACTTTTTGAAGGTCCTTTTTCGAAGCTTGCAGTAAAATAAACGACAATGCGTTGCAAGATGCCTGCATAGAGGTTTGTCGTGTGCAATGAATAGCTATGTCCTGGGAAATTGGGAATATTACATTTGATGTACAATAGCTTGACTTGGCTTGCGGCTTGGTTTGGTTCTGAGAGGTATGAATCGAGGGAAGCCGGGAAATCGAATATTAAAGCAGATCAGGAGAAACATTCATACGACATACTGCTTCAACCCACTTAGAGTCTGCGATGTCTTATTGATATATACTCATTGTCTTCCGGCTGCCAGATTGAGCAATCGAAGATGGCTTGATCTATCGTTTAAAAGTTTCGTATTTATTGAAAGAGCTCTGCATTGTGTTTCTGTCACTGCTTTTTGCTTCCTGCCTTGGTGGGTGGCAGTTTTATACTGATCGAAAAAGGAGATATGCAACAAAAGAGCAGGTCACGAGTAATTTCAAATACTGTTTGTTTGTTGATTGGTCTTAGAGATGTGGGATGTCTATTATCGAAATTGTGCCGAATATGATATTTCAAGAAGATGACTAAGACAAAACCTCGACGCAGAATCCCCCTAGAAGATTGTAATTGGCACATTAATTACTCAAGATTCAAATCGAATCTTCTAAGCTCAAATATCACGACCACTCCCTGAAAATTCACAAGGAGCCCAACGGAATACATTCTTCCTTCAGGCTACTTACGTCTTTTCCAAGATCTTAGTGAAATCCTGCTGCGAAAACATACATTTTGATATCTCATACAATGCAATCTCAGACATGTTATACTGCGGGTGGAAGAATAAATGCTGGAAACACCTCTTCTCTAATGTCAATATGTAAAGCTGCATGAGAGACTTACCGGGAGATGGTGTAATGTAATCAAAGATTTGGGCTTCAGCTGTTGTGTTTGAGTATGGATCTTATGGTATATTGTTTGCGCCAATCATACCTATCATCATCGTCCACACAGCCTGTGCAATAGTTTCGCATCCTGCGTGAAAGACATTGTTTCCACCTTCAATCAGAGGGCGCGATACAAAATCAAGTCATTGAATCGGAGACTTTTGAAGGTCTTCGCATACGCCATGAAATCTGTGGATATATCCATGCAAATGCCATTAGTACGGGTGCTGGATTGTGGTAGTTTGGGGATTTTTTCACGGGCAGTGCGAATGTAAGCAGCATTCATATCTATGTGAGCTTTCAGGATTCTAACTAGTGGTTCTTTCATGCTGCTGCTGCTTCTTCTTTTAATATATGTTCGATGTATAAATATCTTGTACAACTTTCCTTTTTGAAATTTCCAGAATTGTCTCACATATTATGCACAGCTGATATCGCTTTGTTATTCTTTCACTTCTGCGGCCCATGAAACGCAAATGAGTTCTATGTACAAGCCTAGAAGATAATCGTTTTTCCTGTGCCTTATCCTACTGACAATCCCAACAAGCTTTTCCTTGTATTTCAATAAAGCAGTAGAAGTGTGTAATATCATAAGGTAGGAAAATCGGCATTTAGTGGTCCTCTGTCGACTCGCTGGCGCGATTTCCTATCCGCATAGGGTCTTCGCCGCTTTCCAAAGACTTGTATTCCTCTTTCTTGATTATACCCTCTTTGTAGCTTGATTCATATTTTTCATCTGACTTTGCTTTTCATGGCTTATAAGGAGTTTTTGGATGCCAATTGGGCCAAAACCCCGTAGATGTACATACAGATGGTATATGCAAAGACGTCCTTTTGATTTGATGAATTTTATTCGCAGCTTACTTGGTGCGGTTCTAGCTCTACATTTGCTTCTATCAAGTAATATTTTTACTCGCTCGCTCACTCAATTGTCATCAACGTCAAGCTTTCCTATTCTGTTCATGGTGTGGTTGACATAAAGTTTTCTTTGTGCACATGTTTCTCATTGTTGAGTGTAACCTAAAACACGTGACGTGGAGTGGTTTGCACCACTGCATGATCCCCCAGTATTCAGAAATCTATTACTCACATTACTTTTATTCATTCTACAGAAAGTCCCTCGTTTTTGGTATTTCCTAAGCCGCACCTTCCATATTCTCCTATCCTTCATAAAACGCCTCGTCTTCCATAACTTCCCATCTTCATCATGTCTGGAGGGGTCTTCTCCGAGACACTTCAATCCATCACTACTACAAAGCTTACTGAACTTTCCAAAAAGCGCCATCATTTCGAGAGCCAAAAGAATGCTCTCTCGCACAAACTGAACAATGAACTCGATCAACGAAAAAGGCTAAAGCTATTATTGGAAGGTGTGAAGCAAAGCTTTGCCATTACGACATCAATCACGAAGAAACGTAGTCACGACCATGACATCAAATTATCTTCGGTTGAACTACTTGTCAAGAATCTCGAGAAGTTTATTGCACAAGCTGAATATGATCCATCCATCTCTGATAAGACTCTAGAGCAATGGGAAAAATATTTGGTACGTCATATTGATGTGCAATCATCAAAACACCAGTATGCGACTTTGTACGGCGAGTTGGTTACAGAATGGCTTTCAGCAGAGCAGCAACAGAAAGCTGTCGACGTCGCAAATCATACTTCAGAAACCGATGAGGAGTTTCAAAAAGTCAAGAAGGAGAGAGTTGCTAGGACTGATGGACGAGCAAAATGGGAAGAATTGGTCTTTCAACCATTCGAAACCGACCATAAGACAATCACGGCATACCTCACTACCTTGTTTGGAATGGATGGGAAGAATGAACAAGCCAAGAAAGCCTTGATTGCTCTACGAAAACAAGTAGAGACATTCGGGAATACATTGTCTGTCCCAGGTCAATTCAATCCTATCGTTTTGCGTTGGACTATCAATGGCCTTATATCTTCCGGTCTCCTATCGGAGGAAAAGCGTGCAGCGCTGAAAGATTTTCTTGCCAGTCCCGTTATTCTCACAGAAGTTGCAGATGTTCTGAACATGCGTCTTGCATCCATAGATATCTGGGAATGGAACAGGGACATTGCTGTTGAGCAAAGACGGCACCTTAATGGTACACATCATATGTTCATTGACGAAGATCTCCTAGAAGCACTGTTCCTTCAATACATTGGTGTTAAATGGTCTGTTTTCTTCAAAAAAGCCTTCATAGGTTTCTCCAATTTCGATGGAGCATGGTCAAAACTGAACAAACCTATTCCTCCAATTGATAAGGCAAGAAGAGATTTCTACCTGGGACCATCATACAACCATCAGGGAAGTGTTATGGAGAAGCGGGAGGGACTTTACAAATCCATATACTTCATGTCTCAGCTTCCCAATTCGGAACAAGATGAGCAAGCAGACCAGGATGGAGTCGAAGAAGCTAATTATGATATGCTTGAATTTCCCGGACAGCGGATGAGTCTAAGGCAGGGACCAGCTATGTCTCGCCGTAATCTCATGCAATCTCAGCAAGCTCCGCCTCCTGCGCCAAAGAGAAAGAGAGCAAAGATGCAGGCACAGACAACTGCATTCGATTGTACTGCAGATGTACTTACAGATTTTGATTTCGATTCGTTTCTAAATGCCGAGGAAGGGGATTCCGACAATTTGCCAAAAACGCCAATGGAGATCAAGCAATTCACACTTCATTTACTGTCAACTGAGATTATCATTAATACAAAGCTTCATGGCGAGATAAGCTGTGCTCGCTCAGAATTCGAGTCATATGGTCCCTCATTGCCACATTCCACTATTTTCTGTGTTCTTGGGTTCTTTGGTTTATTGGTGAAATGGTCGAGATTCTTCCAAAAGTTTCTTGAAGCTCCACTGAAATTTGTCGATGAAGATATATCCTCGGAAGCTCGCATTCGGAAGCGTGGTGTTCCCGGAGCTCACGCTTTATCTGCTGTTTGCGGGGAAGCAATTCTTTTCTGTCTTGATTACGCCGTAAATCAAAGCACAGATGGAGTTCAACTCTACAGAATGCATGATGACTTTTGGATTTGGTCGCCTTCTCACCAATCTGTTGTCAAAGGATGGAACTCAATTCTCCAATTCTCAGAAATCATGGGAGTTGAACTTAACAAAGGTAAAACCGGCTCTGTGCGCATCACATCTAGTGGATCCAAGCAGCCCATGGACCCTTCTCTTCCAGTCGGAGACATTCGCTGGGGCTTTCTTAAACTAGATCCTACGACTGGCCACTTTACCATTGATCAATCTATGGTTGACCAACATGTCTCAGAACTTCAATCCCAACTCCGTGATAAGAAAAGTGTCTTTTCATGGATCCAAGCCTGGAACACTTATGCCGGTCGCTTCTTCACCTCGAACTTCGGAAAGCCATCGAATTCCTTCGGTCGCGCACATGTTGACGCTATGCTATCAAGTTTCCGACACATCCAAAATCTCATCTTTACCAACACAAACGTGGTATCATATCTCAAAGATACCTTGAAAGAGAGATTCGGAATTGACAACGTACCCGATGGATACCTTTACTTCCCAACTAGTCTTGGCGGTCTTGAATTACACAATCCCTTCATTGGACTTTTACAATTACGAGATGGGGTATATGAAGCCCCGGAAACGTTGATGGATAATTTTTTCGAGTCGGAGATTGAAGCATATAGAGTGGCTAAAGATAATTTCGAAAAGAGAGCTCCTCAAGTCAATGTGGCAATGGCGCGTCAGTGGCAACTCGACAATCTCAATCGCCCTGGTCTGCAAGAGTTCATGTCTTTCGAAGAATTCACCCGATATAGAGAAAAATCTATTGACTCTTGGGAAGGAACTCTAATTGGGGTCTTTGAGGATCTACTCAAGCAACCAAGTAAAGAATCGGCGGATTGGGATGAATCTGATATGATTCTGGCAAAGGCAATTGAAAGTGGCTTCTCTTTGGCGTTTGAGGGAATAGATATGGGATATTGGAAATGGGTTGTGAAGCTTTATGGAGAAGAAATGGTAGAGAGATTTGGGGGATTAGCTGTTGTGGATAAGGGTTTGTTGCCCACCGGGATGGTTAATTTGGTTAGAAGTGGAAAGGTTCAATGGCAGGGTTGATTCG